CCGCTTGAGTTGGAGCCAGCTGAGCCGGCTACCCACTTCCAACAGTTGTTGTGGCCTTCGTTAGTCTAACGAGGGGGCCGGCTCTTTATACTTGTCAACGAGCAAATGAGTCAAACACACAAGGGCCAGGGAAAAGGAGAGCACAGACAAGCGCTGTTCGGTTGAGCTTCACTGAGCTCTTGGCCAGAGCACTTCCCTGGAAACTAGGGAACCCACAATCTGCCTCTTTGATGTTGGACGATGCTCCGCATTTGACAGGAACTTTAGAAAAACACACTTGCTAAAGGAAATGACACAGTGCTCCATTCCTGTGCCCGCTAGAAGCAGGAGCACATTTAAAGGGTGCCCCTGGAAATAAGACCTCGAAAAGAACAAGTATTGCACTGTCCATATCCACCCAGTAAATACGAATGATTCTCTGACTCTTGATAACGGCATTCCCCAAGTGTCTTCCCAAGCTAGCAAGATGAGGTGGTTCGGGCATCTGATCAGGATGCCCTCCAGGGCGCCTCCCTGTTGAGTTGTTCCATTCATGTCCAAGAAGCAGGAGGCAGGACACGCTGGAGTGACTTATGTCTATCAGTTGGGAATGCTTCAGGACGGGGAGCGGGAAGCCTGGGCTTCCATCCTTAAGATGATGCCTCCACGACCTGACCTCAGATAAGCGGAAGAAAATGAATGCATGGATCGATGAATGAAGAATGATGAAAAAACTCAAGGCCCGTCGCACACCCCGCGACGAGTGTGAACCCACTTTGGACTGAAATATAGCAAAAAAATGACAGTTGGAAGAGGGAATGAACAAAGAGAATAATTTGGATCAAATTCACCATCTGAATGTACCCGACACGGTACGCAATGCTTGCAACATTTTAGCCACGAGCTTTTGCTATTTCACCCAAATGAAATTTGAAATATGGTCACCGCTAAGTATTGTCCTAAAACACAGACGGAACTCACGGAGAGTGTGGAACCGTAGCCTCCTCCCATTCAGCCCCGCGCCGACTGCGGTGACCCGCGGACAACGCCAGCCACTGCTTGGCACCGGCACAACCAAAGCATGCTCACAAGTGTGAGGCTTCCCCATGACTACAATGCACCCCCTCCTCACTCCAGACTTTCTACATGATTTTGAAATGAATCTTACAAACATCTGTGATGTCAGCAGTCACTGACGTTGATAAGAGAACTTGAGTCCAAGTCCAAGGTGGTGTGATGAAGTTAAACTTGTCCAACTGTGCATGTGACAAGTGGAGTAGTCATGCTGCAGCAGAAAACCAGCTTTTCAAGCCATTCAGAGGAAGATCTTTGACAAAATAGTTTGAAGTCAAACCAAGTCCACGGAACGAACAAAATGTCCACGAAGGGTTATCACTTGTCAACAAATTAATGTGGAGTGTGCAGAATGAGCATTGCAGACATTTGAATGCGGTAAAAACAAGCTGTTACGACACCCTCAGGGAGCCGCGAGGCAATTGGGTGGCCACCACCACAGTCAACCCTGTTCAAGGTGCAACGTGGGAGGCGAGATGCTGAGGTGATGGGCAGCGAGACATGGCTACTAGAGGTTCACCTTCTGTGCGGTGGCTCTAGGGCAAAGACCGCATGACAGTGACGTGACACAGAAAGCCTTGCTGTCAAAAAGTCAGGCGGACGCCCTCCAATCAAAACGCAAAAGGTTCTTGGTGACACTTCATAGGGCACAGCTGCTCGACTGTGACAGTGTGCCAACTCACTGTTCCTGAAATGTTGTTTGTTTAATGTCACAAGTAGACCGTTGTCACAGTTTGAACCTGAGCCTGCCAGGGTGTATGAGCACATTTTCAGCAACTCGGCATGACTGTTTATTTATTAGTCACTATTTCACAGCTGTTTTAGTTATATTTTTACCAATGCTTTTTATCGTATCCTATCATCTATGCCCCTGAGACTATGAATGGGTGGCACAATTCGCCAAGTATGAGGGAGGGCAGGGAAAACAAATGACAAAACTCAATTCTGAGGTTTTACAATCAAACATTTCTCTTCCACTCAAAGGATGTTCCTGTTCTCTTTTTAAACACAGTTTGACGCAAGAGCAACATCAAGGACTTTCTCAATTTCGGCAACAAGACCAACACAGTTAAACCATTCAAAAATTGTCCGTTATGTGACTCCAGGCAGCGGCGGAGATAAAGTGAAGTGCTGAGATACAAGTGACATTGTGAACATCACAACAGCATACCCACGTTTGACGCATATTTTGTCACAGCTTGTTAATAATGCTGCCGGCCCCACTCTGAAACCAGGCCTGGGTGCGCCAGCTGACCGGCCCTGCTATGCACAGCCCAAAGAGACAACGTGGGTCCGCCTTCTCATGAACTACCAAAGATTCAGCCACAAGTGGATATGTTCACACACTGGGGTATATTGGAGTCTTATTCAAGTTCTTAAGCACTTGTTCTTGTTCAGGTGAGTGAAGATGGGAGCGGTAAACAGGTGAATCGGTGCAGTATTAGCAGTGACCTCTGAAGGAGCCGAGCCTACAATCATTAACTGTGGGTCGTGACCGAAAGAAGGTGATCACGGATAGAAGCTGCCAAAATGAATATCCTCCGCAGGTTGCCCGGCATCTCCCTTAGAGATAGGGCGAGATCTGGGACGGGGGTCAGAACAGATCAACATCAAGAGGAGCCAGATGGTGTCACTGTCTTTGTATCTTCCTTGGGCCAGTTGAAACAAAGTCATGATTTTTGCTGCTCTGTACTTGTGACGTGCAATGACAATAAGATTTCTTTTTTATTTGATTGCCATGAAGCGGCTTGGGCATCTGGCTCTAAACAGAACTCAAATGGAAGACTATTGCCTGTCCAAAACGAAGGCACATCTAGCTTCTCGGCTGGCACGGGAACGCCTCAAGGTTGCGCTGGAAGTGCTGGATGAAATGCCTCGGTAGAGGGAGCAACCTGATCCCAGATAAGGGCAAGATGAACAGCCCTTAAAATAACATTTAAATAAATTAATTACGATTCAGGAGATGGTTTGACACTTAACATGTAGAAAATGTTGATTGTTGTCTTCCAAAGTAAAAACCGATGTTTACGATTGTCTGATTTTGATTATCTGTGTGCTTTCCAGAGGCTGAAGTTTCAAGGATCTGGACAATGAAAAAAGGTCCCTCGATGGCTAATCAATTAAGTCATCTATTAATTTGATAAGTGAGTAGTTGTTGATTAATTATTGCACCTCTAAATTCTACAAATAGGCTCATCTTATGGAAAGGAAATTTTAAACTGAATCGGGGTGGGGAAAAGGGTTGCAATTAGTCCACCCCCCCAAATCATTCAGCTTTACTTGTGAATGTGGTCAATTTGTATGAGTGTGACAGCTCTCCACGCTCAGTAAGACACATGGAGACGACTGCAAAGACTCACAGTAGCGTGTAAAACAGTTTTCTATTCTTGAAAAACGAGCTTTTTTTCCCTCTTGGTACATCTCTGCATTTTAGTGTAGATGGTAAAGCATTATCTCTTTATTCTTTACATGGCAAAATATATTTGAAGACATTTAAAATGTAATGTTCGATTCTGTAGTTCAAAAGCATATCGTCAGCATCCAACACAATAGCAGCTCTGGTATGGAGTTCCAGAAAAAGTTCTTGTGACTTTCTCTCAGCACCTTAACCCCTGAGCCAGAATCACGGTTTTACCCCCATTCCAGGAAAAGCCTGATTCCTTGGCCCGGGGCCTTAAGAGTCATCACTGGTCTCAGACAGCTTGCTTATCACATTTACTGTAGCCTCTGGTGGTGGTGGACTCTGAGGGACAGCTGTGGTTGGAGGGCTGAGATAGTGTGCACACATAAAGCACTCAAAGTCAGCAGGTATGCGAGGAATGCCTCTTCATCCAAACAACAGGGCTAACACCCGCCACACCACACAGCTATGTCAGAGCACTGCAATGAAGCCCACGGGAGACTGCGTGGCAATTTACATTAGAAGATTTCAGTGATAATATTATACACTTTGAATTGTTTTAACATTTCTGTATACTGTATGTGACAATTAGTTACCTGAGTTAAGGTGAAAATTCATATTTCCGAAATATTTAATGTCGGTCAAAGATCATGATACAGATCCCTGCAAAATCTGAAAAGCGTTGCATCGAGGAAAACCAAGAAAGACATTTGGGTTATTTAGCACTTTATAAGTGATGCGTATGTTATTCTCCCTCTCCCAGTTGGGTTAGAAATGCAGCCGAAGACGAGAAATAAGCTATGTTTGACTGTCTTGTCTGACACCTTTGTTTAGAAAGAGGTAGTTTCGGAGAATCGGATTCCTCTATTTGGTTTGTTGTGTGCGGTTATGACTGCTAATTTGTTTTTATATCGAAAGATTTGCATGCTTGGGACAAGTTTTAGTGCATGTGGTGATGATGACTGTGCAATACGCTGCAACTGAATTGCAGCCGTGCAAGTGCTAGCAATTGAATGTTATCATCACAGGATATTTCATCGGCATAGCATCTGTCATCTTAACCCCAACTTATTTTACAAAGTAGAACACCTGAACAGCTTAAGAATATTCAGAGAAACATATGCCGCTTAAGTAGCCCAAAACATTTGACAGCATATCATGTGAGAATCAAATGATTCTTACATGTACTTTGATGTTTTGTTTCTGTATTTTTTTGATTTCGAAAAAAGGCCCGTGGCTACAAACAGTGTACGAAAAGAACATAAGAGTTTCTGGAAATATTCAAACCCACATTCGACTACTGTGTCATTACTAAGAGAGGTTAACCATTTTTTACAACTGAGAATATTCAGAAATGGGATTTGTAAAAACACAACAGTGCAACTCAACCCGCCACACATTATGTAATTGTCTTCAAAATAAAGACAGCTTGTGTTATAGGCTCTTCTGTACTTCAGATCATGAACATTTAACATCTACATGTGTTATCCTGTATATTACATTAAAATCGAACATAAAACATACGTTTCAAAGAACAGATTTGTACCTCTTTTATGCAGCCATCCCTCCTTGACGATCACCACGTTGGTCATGTTGGTGGACAGGGTAGAGGATCCAGGATTTCCAGAGGAAGAGTCACTTCGTTTTTCCAAGTTCTCTTCACTTGCCCCAGCACACGAGGCCCTGGTTATCTATTAGTTGGAAAAAGGTAAAAAATTAGCCCTATATTGAGGTGGAAGATTTTTTTCCACCTGTCTGAATATTAACCTTCAGGTCAACTCAGAAGAGAGGCAATGAGACCCAGGAGCTGGTGCTTAGGGAGTCAGGCAGAAAAAGACATGCCTTCCGTGTCGCTAATCCTAATCACGCATTACAAAAAGCACAATCATTCTTGCCGGAATGACATTTTTAGATTGCGTTATGATAATTATTTAGAGGGTTTTGTTGACTGAAAAATAATGAATAGATGTCCTTTATTATTGAATGTTGCCTACAACCGTCTTAAGTATGTAAACAACTTTTACCTGCCATATCTGTATGTTCTTGTTGTAGTTGTTACTCATGCCTGACCAACGGCGCAGGCAGGCACACAGAAATGTTGCTGGAACTCATCCAGACAAACTGCCTGCCTGATGTGCGCATAAGTAACTGATGCAGAAGACGCACTTACTCTGTTAAGTGCAGTGCAAACTTCCGTAGGCAATTAGGTAATAGTCGAGGTCTAACCTGTTGACACTCAAGAATGACTTCATAATTTAGTGACAGAAATCTAGGCTACATTCACTGGGCCAGAACATTGGGTAGACATGGACAACTGAATGATATTCAATACAAGAGCACTAAATCAAAAATCGCTGCAGAGAGATAGCAATGCTAGATTGTGATTTACACTGAGGAACATTATTTCACTGTATGACTCAATTTAGAAAATATGACATTACAGTCATACCTCGGTTTTCGACCCTAATCCGTTCCAGAAGGCTGTTCGAAAACCGAAACCACACTCTTTTTTTAAAGAAAAATCTTTATTGAACACGTCTGCTCACAATGGAACGCTACACGAGGAAGCGTCACTTCCTCGTGTAAGGAAGGCGAGAGGAGTCAAGTGGCGCATTCAAGTGCACTCACTTTGGTCGAGAACCGATTTTCGGTCGTAATCCGAGGCATAAAAAAAAAATCGAAATTTTTGGTCAAAAACCGATTTGGTCAAGAACAGAGACGTTCGAAAACCGAGGTTTGACTGTGTATGTTCTTGGAATTGAAACAGGATGAACATATTTTGGTGATCTAAATAAAATGATCTTTGCAAATATAGATAGATAAATAGATGGATAGATCGATAGACAGACAGACACACAAACAGAAGACGTATGACTCTTAAGGATCAGATGGCTCCACACACACACACACACACACACACACACACACACACACACACACACACACACACACACACACACACACACACAGTGATACCACAGTAAGTATATAAATTTCAAACAAGTTTCTCCTATGGGAGACCTAATAAAAAGTCAAATCAAATCTAACAGAAGCAATGAATCGAGCACTTTCTATAGTCCGGTAATTACAAACATCCAAATCCTATCAGGCTATCATGACAAACCATTTGACCTTTCCCTTCATTTACCTCTCGTAAATACAGCTTTGAACGCAGGACAGGAGAAAGAGAAGGGATCAATTTCACTACTTGTTCACACAAATGTCACACACTGCACCAGGCGATCTCTGCCCTTCCACTGAAATCAATTTGTCTGCTGCCGCTCCATCAGAGTAAATCCATCGGAAGAGCTCTGTGTGAGTGGCCTCAGCCATCCTACTGCCAGAGACAATAACAGGAAGTGGATGTGACTATTGACAGACTCTGGGTCATATCAGTCCAGCACTGGGCTCAAATAAATGCCTCACTGAGTGAGGTGATAAACACACTTTTTATTGTTGTTGTGCTCGCTCATCTCAATGAGCAAAAAGAGTTTGGGGGGTATTTTTGCTCTGTGTTTTTGGTTATTGCAGTGAGGTTGTGGTGGTGGTGTGGGGGGGGGGGATCTTGCAGTAGCAATGTGACAAAACAACACTATCTTGGTGAATATTTCTTTAAAAAAAAAACATGAAATGAGCACATAAACCGCTTTAAAATCCTCCGTAGCAGATACAATCAGGGAAAAATAATTGGTTACTAAAGTACAATCACCTATTCAACATAATACATCTTTATATAACGCTTTCACAACAGTTGCAAATGCAACAAACGGCTTTGCAGAGCATTTAACATCATATAGAAATAACACAACAGAACACCTAGCATAAAACGTTGACAATAACATCATCAATATTTAAAAAAATGAACAATTCCACCAGTAATGTGACCAAAAGATAATATATACCACTCAATTGGGTGGAAAAAAAAATCTCTTCAAGAGGGCAAGTTGATTTAATCAAATTCTAACTCATGTTAAATTGGAGTCCGCACACACATTCCAAGATGTGTTTGGGAGATTTCATTTGTTGAATTCAATACCATTCAATAAAAATGTTTCATTCGATAAATGTTTCCGCTACCCATACTGACTTTCTCGTGAATAATAATCAATTTGCTCTATTTAAGTCGAGTTTTAGCGCATGTGACGCAGTTAGAAATGACAAGGTCAAATGACAGTTTGGAGTTGACGATTTAGAGAACACCTTGCAATTCCGGCTCGTAGGAACTTATTTATGGATATTTTAGCTGAAACCTGTCCGCGAGTCACAGAGGGGGCTCGCCAAGCAGTGGGCTAAATGTTAAGTCTTCCATCGTAGCTTTGGAAAATTGTGCTAAGATGGCGAAAAGTGTGGCCTTTCTAAGCTTTCAGGCCGTACCACATTGGAATAATCAAATAAGAATATACTGTGTGTAATTTATGTATGAAATAATGGCCAACAACTCACTTTGGGGTCCCCACCCACCACTTGAGAATCACTAATGTAAAGTATTACTTTTTAGGTTTTTATTTTGAAGTTGGCCCTTGCGTTGCTATGCATAGTAGCTTATGAACAAACGTGGAGGCAGCTGACTTCACTTAGCTGGCTCCCCGCAAATGGCTAGTCAGCCATTTCCCCCTCCACACAAAAAGATCAATTTCTGGAAGCCTTCATTCCATTTTCAAAATTCTTGGTGTGTTTTACTCTGGTTGATGTAGCTATTTCAACCAGACTTTGCATTTTTGACCGATTGTCATTTTTCAGAAATATTGTCATGTTGCTCCTTGGAGCTTATTTTGAGTGAGGGTGGTAAATAAATAAACATAACGGTACCTAAACTATTGGTACCCTTCAGCATCTCAGTGCGTACACTGTGCGCACAAGCACGCACAAATGATATATAAATTGGGATGTTTCCGACGAACATACCGTGGTGTGTACGCCGCAGCCGAAAAAGCGACACATGCGCAAGAGCGGCTCCGGAGCCACAACAGAGTGCTGCTGTTTTAATGGGAGCGACCTGTTGCTAGTGCGGCCTGTGTGGAAAAAGCTGGGCTCCTGCCAGCGCTGCAGCCAGCAGCCACTGAATGAACCCAGTACCCTGAACAGCGGGTCACATGGTCCTAAGGCCTCTGCGCCGCCACCGCCTGCCTGCCTTACTGTCGCTGTGGCTTTTAATCATTCATCTTTCTGGCTCCAGCTCTGGGGGCCAACTCATTCAATGCAAATCGGTGTCTTGAAGCGAAGATCCCACAGAGACAGAAAAACACGCACGCACGCACACACACACACTGCATTTGTGACTTGAACTAGCGATGATAGTCACAAGTGTTTATGGCAGGACGAAGAAATTCAGGCCAACCCCACCGCACTACTTCCTCCATCACAGATCAATGGTCGTAAGCTTGTTTATGCTCTATATTCTGCTCCTGCTGGGGAGGGCAAGAGTCAGCAGCTGGTTTACAGTTACAAAACGTATAGGCTTTTACTCGAGTATTTACATTTGAAGCGAGACCATCCATCACGCGTACTTGTTAATGGGAAATGGATCCTACAGTGAGAGTCAGAATGATCGGTCAAATCGAGAGTGTCAAGTTCCTCTTTGAAGTTCCCTGAAAATACTTTACAAATGATAGCTATTATTCATAAGTTTAAAGTCTAAAGCCAAATGCCCGTGAAATCGTCAAGGGTGGTATCATAGTGACAGAAGTCATCCACACGTCCGAGTCCTGGCTGCTCAGTACAATATGGCTCGGCAGAACGGAATGTACACTGAAAGGAGAAGAATGTTGAAACATTATGTGAAGAAACTCCCCACCAACAACAATGCTTTCAGCCTTTCGGTGTCACCAAATCATAGCCTTTGAGATACTCAAAACTGCACTTTATCTTTGCCACCAATTATTTGAGGAGAATAAAGATACACACAAAGAAAAAGAAGACAGTGACTTGTGACAGTGTTACTTAATAGGTGACGCCAAGCATTCCTAAATGTATCTCTGTGGGGCAACAGCAAAGGTTAGTGATTTGCAGTAAACTTCCAGAGTTAGGCTTTTCTATTTATGGGTTAAATTCATCATTTGTTGGTTTAATACTTTAAACACCTGTAACTGGCCATGGTTCATTTTGTGCAATGGTATAATACGGACTGATGTTTTGATTTTGAACTTAAAAAAAAAAAGGTTATCCAGTTACGAAGGGTTCAGTGAATGCACGTATGAAACTTGCGGGGTTTAGTTCCCACGTGGTTAAGAACCACTGTTTTACACATTATTTAGGTTTATAACGGTTAACTTCAGTTCCGCTTCACCTCAATCATCAAATCTAAAGGTGAGATGCTCATTTATCATTTCAAAGTTTTACTATTAATGTTAAATATTACTTAACCTGCTTGTATGGGTGATAAAAGAATTATGACTCCACAGGTTTCACCTTGGGGCAGATTCAAAGGAGTTTCCATGACAACTTATAGAACTGTTGGTAAATACGAACAAACCCGAGGTGGACCGGCAATGGGGAGCAGATTGGAACGTTGCTTCAACTTGGCTGTTGAATACACATCCACAACTATTATGGACTTGGACTCGCATCCATTATGCGTCTGGAGTGTTCTGAAGAGCTTCACATAACTATTTAAAGATTCAATTTGATTTTTTTATTCCTGACCTGGTAAATGTGAGCAACATTAATTGAATAACTGTTATCAGTGTCTCAGGCTCCAATGTTATCAGAGGGCCTTCACAAACTGAAGAAGGGTACGTTCATGTGACGCCAACAGTAGGCAATCATTGTGAGAAGCGTATCCTGCTCTGTGATAAGGTCTGAACTCATGTGGCACAATGGGACACAATACATCTGACTGTGCACAGGGACAAAATTTCTAACACCATTCCACAAATTCTACATGCGCCTGATGGCACATTTGCGTCAGAGCACTTGGATTGGATGGGAGGCGGCTGATATCTTCTAAATAGAACAGGCAGCTCCAAACAGTCACTGGCTGCATCATTACGTCGACGTGTTGTGTCTTCCGGTGGTCATATGGCAAGGCCCCATGTGCACACACAGTGGACAGACGTAGTCTCATGACCAGCGAAAACATGCTGACATAAAGGCGTAAAAGGGTATAACATGCCTGGGGACATTGTACTCTGAGAAGGCAAATGGGAAACCAAGTGTTAGTCATTGAAACTTTAGACTGTTAATGTTATTACATTCTATGCGTTACTGCTACAATATGTATTTGGACCAAAAGTTAGCTCTCATAACACAAGTGGAAACATACTGGGCATGTGTAACAGTCCAGTATTTCCTTGGCCAGTCACTTTCCAAATAGTTTTTTCAGGTTACCCTTAAACTGTCGTACATATACAGTATCTGTATTCCAAAATACCGAGTACTTAAAAAGTATTTGCTACATTGATGTGTTGCAAAAAGCTTAAGTAATTCAATCAAAGCTGACAACAATACAGTCAAATAGGTATAGGTAAGCACGGAAAAGCAGCCAGTCCTGAACTTTTTAAACCTTTGAACGCAACAACAACGTTCAAGCATTTTCAATAACACTCAACGCCCGTGGGGAGTCTACACACAGTGTCAACACTTCCTACGTGCTGATTAGAAGTTTAGATAATAAGGAAATAACACGACGGCGTCTCTGTTTCAGGAGATCCCTAAAAACAACTGACGTAGCAGCACATTGTTATTGTAGTTGAAACGTAAAATGAGTGCGATCTTTAAGAGTGGGTGTTGGAGCTCAGCAACAACACGCTAAGAAAGCTAATGATATGTGTGACTCGTACAGTATAAAGCGTAAACAGCGTTCAAAACAATGAATGGGCCGCACTCTTGTTGATCTCATTAGTTTTCCTCGTGGGTCATAAAAGTACTACAAAAAACAGCATTTTAACGTACAATAGGGGCACAGCTTGAAGTTTCAAAAGGGCCCGAGGCTGCGTCTCAAAAAAGTGGTCATTGTCAGAAAGCAAACATCTGAGGAGACGTTCAATGTTGCTTGTGGAAAATACAGTACTGTTCACCGTTACGGCCCGGTTCGCTTTCGAAACTCGCGTCTAGCCGTGACTTTAAAGTAACTTTTACAGTCAACGGGAGTCGGGAAAAGTAGTACATTTCAGTCTTGCATTAAGCGACAGAAAGGATTTGGGGCCTAGCAGGGCAGCTCGGGTGAGAATAACCGCATCCCATGTAAGTACAATGGGGACATACCCTGACTAGCTTTCGAGCTCTTATAGTGAACCACGCGAAAGAAACGCGGCCATTTACCTGAACAGGATTTCAACAATGTGTCCGTCTCATTCTAGTGAGCTGATTCGGTGGTATTTTAAGTTGATAAATCCTTGAATAATCTGGACAAAAGTGATCTCATTTACTCCGTTTCTCTTGCCTTTCTTCCACTACACCTCCCAAATTCGCCGTCTGCAATGCCTCTGTGGCAGTCTGGTCTGCCGGGTCCTAGAGCCGACGGCTTTCAAGCACACAGTGCCATCGGTCCTGGAGGAGAGGAGGCCGTTCGAGGGGGGCTTCTGGTGAGCGTGTGTGTGGCCTCGATGAACTTTGACGTCCTCTGTGTGGGACTGCACTTTACACAATAATTAGCTTCAGCACAAAGAACGAACGTTGCCCTCTGCCCCTCGGAATCAAAAGCAACACACCATGTTTTGAGAGAAGAAGCATTATTTTTGTTTTATTTACTGTATATACTTTTTATCTTGAAGCTTTCTTTCTTTCTTTCTTTCTTTTTTTTAACCAGAGGTGGTAAAAGACCTCCCACTCTGTACTTGAGTATACGTACAGATCAAAGTAAAAGTAAAGTACTGACTCGACTCCTTCAGTGAAAGTAAACATTAAACAAAATTTTCTGACAATTATATGCAGTACCGATTTTAATAATTTTGTGCAATACAATATAGCAATCTACGGGGCCCCTAAGGGGACATGAAAGAAAAAAATTGCGTTCCCTCGCAAAGATTGCTAGATAAAGCAATTTTTTATTTTTTTTTGCAAGGGTGCGCTTTAAAAAAAATGCGTGTTGATGTACTTTCGAGTCATCTCCCGGGTAACTGAAAACAACAAACATGGATGGCGAGTTTAATGGAATTTTACTTAGAAATTGGCTTGAAATACAAAGACATTTAATCCAAGTCCTCTTGCACAATTCTCTCCTTCCCCAAAGTAGTGTCGTCTCTCAATCAGCCGAGCATGAGAGACTACGTTAGCCAAGCTGACCCGAAAGTACAAATACGCGCATTTAAAAAAAAGTGTCCCCTTACAAAAAAAAGAGTTATCTTGCAGTCTTTGCGAGGGAATGCAACACTTTGCAGGGAACGTAAAACTTTGCAAGGGAATGCAAAACTTTGCGAGGGAACGCAATTTTTTTTTTCTTCCATGTCCCCTTAGGCTTAGGGGCTCCGTAGCAATCTGTTCCCATGCACAGCTTTGCTCTGAACTATCAACCAAAAAAATGTAAGAATTATAACAAAATGAGAATTTAAAAAAATCCTCCTTGCATGAATTTTTTTCTGATTATACGCAAAATTTAGGAACATCACAGGATGGTGGTTTTCAGACTGGCGCAAGACACTGCAAATTCTCCATGAATCATTCTTGGAGACAAACATCATCAAACAATTCTCCCAAAGAAGGCAATGTTTTCGGGAATATCTGGCTCATCCGAATCTGCTGCAGTCCAGGTTCCATGGTGCTACCGCTGTCCCTGTATTTTTCCAGCCTCATCAGACCCCAAGATCTCAATCAAGATATCATTCGTGGTTGACTTTCGGGCCCTCCATTTATGTTCTTATTACATTGTGTTGTGGTGTGCGAAGCATGAAAAAAGTAACAAATCTATTTTGACTTAGAAATTAAAGTACAGATATCTGCTGTTTTTAAAAATAGAGCAAAAGTAAAAACTCTTCAGAAAAACAAATAAAGTCTAAGTATTTACATTCAACCACCGCTTCTTAAAATGCCCTCTGGTTTTCTTACTTGTGTGTTTTCGCAACCGTGAAGATCTATTTTGTTTTGATTATCTCAGAAAGGCAACACGGTGGCCTTGTGGTTTGTCTGACAGTTCTGACGTTCTGCGTTCAAATCTTGGCTACGGGTAGTCCTCTTGTGTAAAGTTTGGATGTTCATCCTGTGCTTGCATGTGTTTTCTCCAGGTACTGCGGATTCTTCCCACATTCCCAAAACATGCTGCTACACTCATTGAAAACTCAAAAATTGTCTACCAGCCCTAAACCGGATGACACGTTTGTATGCAAATCATACTTGTCTTGCTATTTGTCTGCAAAATAACAGAAGGTATGACAGAGTGGAGTCAAAACAATGAATTATTTTTAACCATCCAACTTTCCAGTTGGTCCTTTGCGCCAATTTCACGGCCTATTTAACCCTAACCCTTACATTTCCGGTCTAACGTAAAGATTAAAACCGAAAGTCATCACCCAGGCACAGTGTTTACTCGTTGATCTATGACTGTTTTAGTTTATGGCCGCTGCGGAGTAAGTGTTTGCCAAAGAAGAAGGGGGGTGGGGGGCGACTTTTATTTCAGAGTCGCTGTGAGATAGAAATTGTTGCTGGCATTTCCTAACAAAGCCACGAGCCGTGAAGTGAGGTTCAGAATCAAATATAACCAACATCTCTTGCTCTGGCAGCAGCTGTGTCCCACTAAACTTGACTCAACAGCATATTTACTCTACAACTATGCAAACTCTTTCCCTTCATCGCCCCTTTTCACTTTATAACGCACACACTTGTTTATTTAAAAAAAAAAAGTCAGAAACAGACACAGCAGAGCTTGCCAGAGAATACAGGAGTTGAACTGGGACAGGTACAGGCAGGCCAGTGCAGTTGGTTCAAGGTAGTAACAGATACTCTCTCAATTGTATCAAGCCCTCAGATGACTCAGATGGTGTTAACCCCTCAAGGCAATTATTAAGATTTGTTGGAGGAGGAGGAGAAAAAAGTCGAGGAAGCCGGGCTAACTGTTAACTCAACTTATAATTACATTGCAAACGATTGTCCTTGTCATTTTTATTGTGGATAATGATTTGGAAGACGTGCTCTACGAACACTTAAATGGGAAGTCAAGTAAAAAAAAAAAAAAAGTCTGTACAATAATATGTTCCATGCGGCTCCACTAGTCTAAACATGGCGTTCCAATTAAAATTGCGTTTGTGGAATACGAATTAAGCAGCAATCCAGCTGACCACATGCATCTCAAAGGGTATCCATTTTGCCTTGTACTGCCACTTGCCGTCAATTGAAAATGTGATCACAGTGCCGAAAGGCTCAGGGAATGATCAATCATGACTCACTTGTTTTCTGGGTGGGGGAGGTTGGGTTGGTCAAGTGACGTTTGTTAGCTGAGCCATTAGACACTGCAATGTCATTTTCGGTCAACAGCAAGTGGCAAAATGGCCACCCCATGAGATGGTTAAAACAGGTGGATTTTGCATCTTAATTCATGGTCTACAAAACACATTATGAATCAGAATACTGTGTTTAGACTGACAGGGCCGCATAGAACATATTATTGTAAAGATAATTTTGGACTTGACTTCCTCTTTAATAAACCGGTTTAGTCTCTAACTGTGTATGGCAACAACGTGAGAGTCAAGTCACCTTTTAATTTCTACGTTCATTATTTTAACATGATGCAGCATCCCTGTTTGACCTTTAGAGGTTCCTCTCTCCGCCGTATTTGGTAAACAGCATCATTGGAACAGGATAGTAGAGCCAGCTGCTGGTGTATACACAGGGGCCTCTGCCCTCAGCCCCTTCTGTTGTCATGTGTTACCTTTGCCAAGCTGCTCTTGTCATAGAAGTAAGGAAGACTGAGGCTATCCTGTATATTTTGCTGTTGCTATTCGGCGGGGTACTCCTCATCCTCCTCATCTGTTCCTGCTCCAGCGATGTCAGCCAACTTTGTTGTTCTGCAGGTTCGAAGGGAGAAACAGAATCTGGATTTATAGAGATAGACTACACAGAATGTGACACTTTACATGACTTAATGGGCTGTTGAAAGAGAATGGCAGTGTAGGTAGACGGCTGGACAGACGTGTATGCATGTATAGATAGATAGATAGATAGATAGATAGATAGATAGATAGATAGATAGATAGATAGATAGATAGATAGATAGATAGATAGATAGATAGATAGATAGATAGATAGATAGATAGCAGAGCAAAAAGCATCCGCCTTCGTCGAGAGCCAGAGCAGAAAAAAATGACGCGTATGTTTTGCATGTAGTGTTATCCTGGTGATGGCAAATGACAATAGGGCCATCAACTATCCGATTTGTATTCCTATGTTGCGTGATTGGGATTGACTGATGTTTTCCACCTAGGAGCCTGTTCGTCACAGCTTTTTGAGGACATATACTTAAATTCAAACCAAATTCTTCCAGGGGGATTTTAAATTAGGATGCATTACATGGTCCCTCAATCCCACAGAGCAGCTCAAGGCCGCCCTTATATGAGGTGACTGTGAACTGGTGAGGTCAGTGATGTGCTTCCACTGTGGCTGGATGGCTGCTGGTTGCTTGGCCGGTCAGGCACCAGTGGAATGCGGGCTCTTTTGTTTATCTGCGAGAGGAGTGGGTCAGGGGGAGAATGCCATTGATGGTTGCAGTGAGGAAGAATGAACCTCCAGGAAGTGTTTTCTCTCTCTACTTACTCCCCCACTCTCATTCTCTTTCCATCCTTTCCGATCTTTCACTGTGTGTGAGAACTTTTTGCCGTGCTGAGGCCACAGATCCCGGGGCACAACCACTGCTTTGTCTTGCCCCTGTGAACACACACCCCTCCTTTACTGTGCGCCCAAGTTTGCCAGGGCCATGAAAACACACGGTGACTGCTCCTATTCTTATCTGCATCACTGATTCTGCATTGATGGTGTACATTGAATGTTTTTTTTTTTCTTCATACACCATTTGTCTAATGCACACCATGCCTCCGAGCTGCGTTGCTTCTCATCATGCGGACACAGGTGGAAGCTATTCGTTTTGAGCAGTTGCAGCCAGACTAAAAATGGAAAAAAAAGTAAGTTGGCAAGAATCTCGCCGGTGGCCCCTTACGACCAGTGGCTGTCGCATCCCGTCACATTGCTCATTCCCCCCTGTGTCAGAACACTAGGAGGAGCTGCAAATGGTCCTTTCAAAACACACGACAGCTGGAACACAGGGCAAAGGTGACAGGGGCGGTTGGGAGTGCGCAAAAAAGGGGCATGAGGAGGAGGAGAAGAAACAGGGGAGCGTACAAAATGAGCAGCTGCAACCTCAACTGTTTCTCCCCTGTGCTGCCATCTTTTGCTTTTACCATCACCCGACAGACTCTGGAAAATATTTTAATTACTCAAGAGGTTAAGCAGATTTGAGACTTTTCTCCCTCCATATAAATCATCACTTGTGTCTTAAGACTGTTTGGGTTATCACAGCCAGGAAAAACAAAGCCAGTGGGTGGTTGGGTGCCAGGGAATTTCTCAACTGGAAGCAGGATTAGAGAAAACGGCCCTTTAAAGTTCCCAAAAGCTCTGACAGTCCAAATTACAATGCATGATTTATCATTCTTTTCAAGCAACACATTCTTTGTGACCATAAAGTTTGTCTTTCATCCTCTGATGATCTCAAAGCCACAAACAAATCTTTATCACAGAGAGTTGGGAAATGTAACATTTTAATGGAAATCTACGATTTGCATAAAACTCAACAAGGAAGTAGGGACCGTTTCCAAGTTACGGGAAAGTAAATCTTAGTTTAAAATAAAAAAAGTACTATAATGCCTTCTATAATAAAATATATAATACAAATATCTGTAAATAATTGAAACAAACACGGTGTTAAAATAAAAATCCTCATTCATTCAAATAGAAAAATGCACACTAAGAGTGGGGAAAAAAAGAACTGATGACAGTCCATCCGATTTCCATGCTGAATGAAATGTTTTTGGTTGAGTTGACATCACAGATTCTCACTGCATACATCGAGCAAATTTGACATGATTTTTTTTTAACATGGCATGTGTGATAAATAATGAGGAATGTGGAATTTATATTGCCTTATGATTTCATCAATGTGTAACCAAATTCAACAAATACAATATGTGTTTGGTCGTCAGCTTGAGATTCGTTTCCATTGACAGCAACAGAGATGTTAACAGCTGTGTCACATATTATTTATTTTGCTTGCCTAACTGGCCGGCAGTCCATTAGCGAGACAGTCTGTGAGAACCACTCAGTATAATGCAGTGCATTTCTAAACCGCGATGAACTACAACTACAAAAAGCGTTAAATCAACGTCGACCAATCAAAAGTGGAAAATATGTTCACACCACTATTGAATTTTCTACAGTGCTTGTTCTCATAAGGGTCATCATGTGTGAGCTGGAGCCGATCCCAGCTGACCTGGGATTAATTTATGATCATTTAACAAAAGTGCAAAATCTGTGACTGACGGCATCCTGAGTATTTGTTCAAAATAAATGGAGGCGCAAAAAAATACAGGTTCAACTATTGACTGTTAAGTGTGACAGTGATACTGCTACATTTTTATTTATTTATTTTTACCCTCTTCAAAATAAGAACAAATATTAAATGGATTAAAAATAAAATGCAATAAAATACTACTATCCAGAGGAAAAATACCATTAAGGTTAAAATATATCGGTACATACAACTATAAACAAGTAGTAACAGGTGAGTATAGCCCTCTGAGCATTATACAGTATTGCATCGAACAGGAGAAAATATACCTTAGTCATGCAATAAATTACAAGTCATCACACCACCCAAATTGAGTAAGCACATACACATTTTGGTCTGGTCTGTGCCTCCGTTGAGCCCCGACCCTCTACTTCCGACTGTCGAGGGAGGGTTGCACACAGAGCAGACAGGTGTTTCCAGCAGCAACGGATGTTGCCGCCGGCGTCCTCTGCTACTTGCTGCCGCTGTGCGAGTTCTCGCAGTAGTACACAAGTTTCTGGTGGTGGGCCGAGCGCTATCGCGAGATTTGGCGGCCACACGATCAACCTGTTCGTTGACACTCACCAACAGCAGCCAGCCAGCCAGCAGCCGAGCGAGACGAGCGAGCGCAGTCTGCCTCGCCGGGCACTGGACCGAAAGCTCGAAGAACCGACGAGAGGGAATCCAACATCTGGCCTCACATCATGATTATACAACGTCGAGGTGTCTAAGTGGGGAGAAGGCACATCATCGCATCACGGAAAAGGCGGAAATAAATGTAAGAGCCGTTTTTTGTGCGTTTGAGCGGAGCGAGGAAGCGAAAGTTAAGAATCCAGTCGCTGCTCGGCTCGCTTCATTTTGGAGGAATTTTTTTTTAAAGGCTACCTCTAAATGTCTCATATAACACTTTCGGGCTATACTGTGCTGCCTCATTTACACTTTTCTTTTGAAACTCATTGCGTGTTGCGTTCAAGTACACATCGGTCGCGTCAAACTTTTAATAACCCATTAACTAACGTAAACTTCAGGTGCTATAGATAAATACTAACATGTTACAGTAGTTATAGTCTCATCCTTACGCTGTAGTTTACTTTTTTTTCCCCCGGCGATTAAAAGTGAGCAGCAGTGGCGGGGTTATCTTGTTACACCTTCGACGGTGTTTTGGTTATAAAAATGGTACAAGCGGTGTGCTTTTGGACAGCACCGAGGTAACATATGGCAGAACGGGAGCACAGCTGGAGGTAGCGTTTCCATTGCGGTGATGTCAGAGCAGCTGACTCCACAGCTTGCGGTGTAATTAGCAAACAGAGCAGCAGTTTACTCACTCCGTTTTTTCCTCCTCCTTTTGACGCTCCTTGCCCGCCGTGGACGACTGCTATCATTTCCAGTCCCGCTTGCTTGTTCTGTAAACACGACTGCGTTTGTGTGCGCTTTTTTTTTTCAACCTACGAATCTTTGTGGTAGCTGAAGGAGGTGGATTGAAACTGGAACACCCTGGATCATTTAGGAGAATGGGTGAGCCCACTTTAATGAAGTTTATGACTATGGGAAAGGTTGAAAAGTTGGAAGAGTCATAGTAGCGTGTTTTATATACTACTGCGATTTTACTAGAAGAACTGCAAATTGAATTTAGGGAGATTATGCAGCATATTTTGATGTAAAACTACGAATATCTGCATTTTTTTTTAAGTTATCGACTTTTTTAGTTTGGGGATTTCAGGTGGATATTTGTGCAAAAGTGAAGTGGGAATTCATTCCCAAACTTCTTGAAGTAATTTCGTCAGTGGAGTTTATCTTGTTTTAAACTTTGTTTTCCAGATTTACATTTACGTATTCAACCTTCGTAGTGCTTTGACTTTTTCATGTTTTAGACCATTCCAACGGGATATTCACTAAAACCCAAAAACAGGTTTTTTTTTTTTTTGTCATAAGCCTTGGTAGTGAATCGAGACTCTTGGAACAACTGCAACAGACATTTTTAAAAAATTATTCAGGATAAATCTGTTTCCTTCCCAGGGCTTATGAAAACACATCTTAATTTGGTGCAAAATTGGCACAGGGGGCACCTCCGTCATGCCACTCATTCTCGGGTCTATTAACACGATCAGATGTGTATGCTGCCACATTTAAGTCACTGGCACTCAAGTTTTTTTGGATTTAATAGCGTAATTCGGCTCTGCCTCCCTTTTCTGAGTAGCCCCAATTTGTTTACCCACCATCCTGTTTTTCCTGTTTTCCATCAGGTTATGAGGGAAGAATGGAGTTCCCAGACCATAGCCGCCAGTTGCTGCAGTGTTTGAGTCAGCAGCGTCACCAAGGTTTCCTGTGTGACTGCACCGTTCTGGTCGGGGAGGCTCGCTTCAAGGCGCACAGAGCCGTGCTGGCTTCCTGCAGCATGTACTTCCATCTCTTCTACAGGGACCAGCTAGACAAAAGGGATGTTGTGCATCTCAACAGTGACATTGTGACAGCGCCGGCCTTCAGTCTGCTGCTTGAATTTATGTATGAGGGCAAGCTGGAATTCAGCACTCTTCCAGTGGAGGACGTGCTGGCCGCAGCCAGCTACCTCCACATGTACGACATCGTCAAAGTGTGTAAAGGCAAGCTGAAAGACAAGGAGCTCTCCTCGCTTGACGAAAAGATGGGTGAGGCTTTTGGACTCAGCTGTCTGGAGCGGGACAATTCCTCGGACGGCGAGCTACGCGGTGACAAGCAGCTCGGAAGACGACAGTCCCGGGGGCTCCCGGGGCCGCCCTCCCCGACGGAACAGTCTGACACGGACAACAGCGAAGCGGGGCTCGCTGTCAGCGACTGTGAAAGGTCTAGACGGAACAGGCAGAAGGCAAACGGTCACTCCGGCAGGTCCCCGAACCTTGTAGGTGTCAATTATGTGTCAGCGGAGGCCGAGCCTTGCGTCCAAACAGCTGGAAAAACAAAAGCTGATGTCAGTAGTTCCACCGTATCGCTGTCCCAGAGGTCCCGGGCTTCGGATGACATGGACTGCGCTCTGGATTTGTCTTTCAAGCCTCTGTCTAGCAGAGATCCCTTACAGGCCTCCTACATCTCGGGACAGCTGGCCCTCGACAGCCAACAGCAGGGCACTGAGCCACTTGTTAAAGATGAACACGACTTGCTGTCAGAGCAGGAGGACAGTGAGCCCATGAGCCCTGAGAGCCAGCGCTTTGGGAATAGCGCCAGGAGCTCAGTGGTGACAGGGTTCGCTGCCCTCTTCCCAGGCAACAACGGTCCCACCGCCGCCCTCCTCTCCCAGGAGGAAGACCTGATGGACGAGGAGGGGGAGGCCTGCGGCGGGAGGGAGGGCGCCCCCGGCAGGGAGGCGGCGGAGGAGCGGAGGAGGGGGAGGCTGCTGGGGGACAGCGAGGAGGAGGAGGAAGACGACTTGGCTTCTTCGGACATCTCCACCTCCAGCGGGGTGCTCTTGCCCGCGGGGCAACAGGCGTGCGTGTGCCCCCTCTGCAGCAAAATCTTCCCCAGCCCGCACGTCCTGCAGCTGCACCTCAGCTCGCATTTCCGCGAGAAGGACGGCGCTCGCTCCAAGTTGTCCCCCGACGGCTCGGTGCCCACCTGCATGCAGTGCAACAAGACCTTCTCCTGCATGTACACCCTCAAGCGGCACGAGCGCACACACTCCGGCGAGAAGCCGTACACCTGCGGCCAGTGCGGCAAGAGCTTCCAGTACTCGCACAACTTGAGTCGACACGCCGTGGTCCACACGCGGGAGAAGCCGCACGCGTGCAAATGGTGCGAGCGTCGTTTCACCCAATCCGGGGACCTGTATCGCCACATCAGGAAGTTTCACTGTGGCCTTGTTAAAACGCTCGCCATAGGATAAAGCGCTCAATCTGTGCCAACACGGCCCCACCCCGTGTCTTTTCACACGTTAGTATTCACACACCGGCAGTTTGGATTCTACCCCAGGGGGCATTTCTCTTGATGTAGCAACTTGAAGAAAAACTGGCCTCGACTGGCGAATGGCATCGGTGTGGAAGTTGAACAAAGTAGACGATGCACTTGTTTGTTTGCGTCGTCTTTCTCTCCGTGGGTTGACTTTATTTGAGGAGCTGAAAGGCATCCCGAAGGCAGAACGCAGGCTGCTAACATTTGTTAATACAATCGACTTTATTTGTGCACATGGGAGATCAGAACCGTCCGTTTTCCTACTGTAATGTTATTATTTATTTGGGTATTTGTAACAAGTTCAAAATTTCGAGGCAGCAAAACTAATGAAGTTTAGACTACTGGAATACATATATTTTTTTTCAGGGAAGTTTTTCTTGAAAGGTCAAGGTTAAAGGAGACAAACCCATTATGTCCACTATTGTATTTTGCCTTGGAATCACCTGTCGTTTTTTTTTTTTGTTTGTTTGTTTTCAGCATGAATGTGAACTATTTGAAGAAATGGCCTAATTGCTACTTAAAAGTGTCCATTCAAAGGAGGGACACAAAGCTCGAGTTCATGCCTACAACACTTGTGCCTCGTTACACTTGACTTTAGTGTACTTCTTGAAGAGTGATCGATCACCATGCCTTTTGTCAAATCCACTCACACGTACCGGAGGATTAACAAAGGTAATAGGCAGCGCTGGAATGCTAATTGATCCACGAGGGCCCTGATAAGTGCGTGGCCCAACTATGTAAATGAAGCTCTTATGAAGTTATTGATTGTAGAAGAAGACAAACAGCAGACGAGCGTTATATTTCCTGGTATGGCTGCAGTATGAACAAACCAGTAGTTAGTCACCGTTCGGGGACCGAACGAGACAGGTGGATAATCACAGGCGTGCCGTTCTGCTAAAGCTACTGACTTTCTTTTTAAATTAACATTCTCATGCTCACCATAGTTTCTTACTGTTATGTGTTACTACTGACCTTGATGCCTTTAGCGACCCCCCCCCAAAAAAAAGGTCTGTGGGCAGGAAGGAGTTCCACTCGTTGCTAAATAGTTGTTTGTTTGTTTGTTTTTTGTGTCTAATCTGTCCTGAGAAGACTTGATCTGAAATTTATTTATTAGTTTGGTTCAGGTTTTTTTTTGGGGGGGGGTAGGTGGTTTTCGATTAGCTCGAAAGTTGGTACTATTAACTGGTATTGGGGCTCTCTTTTTTTTTTCTCTTTGTGCAAATCAAGTTACTGTAATTGTGCTTTCATCGAAAAATATCAGTCACACGGAACCTAGAGAAGCACTTGTTTTTAGCATGCACATACAGTAGTCTCAACACTATTTCCTAGGCTGCTATCACCATTTGTATATTTAATGTAAATATATATTCTATTTATGTGTGTTTTTATCACACCCGCGGGGGTGGCGGGAGTCAGGTGTCTTCTTCAGGCTGCAGTGTCTTCCCAGGGGGAGGGCGGGTGGGGGTGCTCGAGAGTTAAACAGACTGCAAATCAGAATCAGGATTTTTCATTCAGCTCTGCTGTTCCGCCACAGGAAATAGTTTTTCTACGAGCACAGCCGTAGCGAGTCGTCATTGGCTACCTATAGAAATAGGACAATACTCGCATTGTCCCCCCCCTACCCACCTTCCACACACAAGTCCCAGGTAGTTCTCAAGGGATCATTGTGTATCTCCGTTGTGGTTTGCTAGCGCTGCGTTGGCGTGTGGGGGGGGGGGGGGGGGTTAGGCGAGTGCACGTTTCTCTTGCCGCTTTGGTGTATTGAATGGAGGCATTGGAATGTGAGAAATGTATTTAGGCGAAGGGAAACCAAGGAGACTGTAAACAGGTGTATTGTTTGGAGGCATCAAAGTCCTACCCACCCCCCACCCCAACCCTCCCTCCACGCAGCATGCAGTCAGATAAATGCATCATTGTTCTACTGAGAGGAGCGACCGTTGCGATTCGATTGCACACCTATAAAGAGATTATGAGTTCTCATTGCGTCCCGTATCCCCCGATGAACATGGAGAATACTGGCAGCAGAGTTTTACTCGAGCATCATTGATAACAGCGCATCTTAAACGCTGCTCAGTTGAACCAGTTCAGTGAGCAACCTTATTCCGTGTACAGTGGAGCCTCGAGCTACGAACTTAATTAGTTCTGTCTCCCCGTTTGTCGCATGAAACGTTCATAAATCAAAGTAACGTTTCCCATTGAAATGAAGTGAAATGTGATTAATCCGTTCCCACCGCCAACTAAGTTATACTTACCTCCTTTTTAAACCAATCTGTGGTTAAAAATAAATATAATGTACCAGTAATATATAAATAAGTGAAAATATACTCTAATCAAGAAATGAAACCCAAACTATTGCTCATGAACTTTAAGAAGGGGAGGCGGGCTACAGCTTCTCCGTTCAAAAAGCGTCTTCTTCCATAATAACATGGGGAAATTCAGATGTTTTTATCTTTTTCTTTTCTAATACATTGGTTGGTTTAGTGACGACACCGATCGCAGGTAAACCTGTTTTTTTTTTCCAGTTAAAAAAAGTATCAAGTGGCAAGTCACATATTTCAAATATAAATTCGGTACCTATTTTATTTGGTCATTTTCATAATTTGTTGATTACCTCTATCACACTATCACCAGTGAGTGCTTTTTCATTTGTCAAGAGCTAAACAACGACAAAAGGGTACATACCGGTGCCACTGCCTAACCTTGCCTTGCGTGATGCAAAGAGCCTGCTTACACGAGATGAGAAAAAGTTTTTGCCTTACCTTGCAGAGGGATACAGCGAGTTTTCAGTTGACAGCAGTGCCTTATGCACATTTTTAATAACGGTAACACACTGCGAGACAAAGCATGACATAGATAGTCTATCGTCAATAATTGCGGGCATAACCCGAATTGTTTGTAAAAAGGGATGTTCGTAACTCAAGGTTCCACTTTGCATACTTCTTGTGTCGTGTCAATTTCATGTACGGGCAAGAAAACGTGGCAAGCTTGGTCAGACGTTTCTTCATTCTTGAATGTACATGTATACAGGCCGAAAAAAAAAAACAACAACAAAAAAAACAACACAGCGTGTTTCTTTTGTAGCGGTTATTTAAAGCTCCAGGATGTTCACCGAGCCTGCCTTGTTGACACACAAATAGGTGTTACATCTGAAGGAACCTCTTTTTGTACTTTGTGCACTCGCTCGTGTTCACGCAACAACACCCCACCGAAGCATAACAACTACTGATTTCTTTTCATAACATGTTGTGTAAAATTCATTTACTTTTTTTTTGCTGCTTTTGTTTGAGGTTCCGGGCATGTCATTTCATTGTGTGAAAATAAATTTTTGGGAGGTGTTCGACTGAGGACAAGCATTTGTGTGAGTGCGCGCACGTGTGCGTGTGCTTTGGGTTCCAGTAGTTCCTTGGGTCATGTCACCGATGAATGTGAATGAACTGCCGAGATTCTCATTGTTGTCTTTTTCATGGACTCAAAAGGCTATGCTTGCCGAAACTCATGCTGTATGATTTTAAAGTCGCAAAACGACCATTATCCAACAGTGGATTTGTTGTGCTCTGTTGCGGGTTCCAACTGTGAAATTGTGTACCATCATCAGAAAATATTTATTCTCATTGCATTTGTTTTTCTTGCAGCTTCTAACTTTTAATTTGGTTTCATCAGCTAAATGTCGAGCCAACACCTTTTTAATTGAAACTGTAGAAAGTGCCATTAGAATTTAATATAATTTTTTTTCCCTCTAAATAAGAACAATATATTTTATAGTAATTGCTTCAGTGTTAGAGGTGTATAGATTAGAGGACAATCTTTGATTAGATACTGAGGCAATTTACTGTGCATATTACTTGTTTGCGCCTTTTTGTGTGTGTGTGAGAGTGTGTGTGTGTGTGTGTGTGTTTGTGGAGGTGTGTGTGCTGTGGAAATGTGACAATCTGGATTTAGGTCTTTATAAGACTATGCATAGAATTAAATGGAACAACTTTGTCGGTGTGAATTTTATTGATTTCTCTCTCAATGTTTTTGCACTTTTTTTTTGTCTTGTGTAAAAAGCTTGAAAATAAGCGATATGATTCAACTCTTAAAGTAGTAATAAATGAGCACTGATAAAGAATCACTTTCAAAATTATTGCTCGTATTAGTGATGCTTAGTGTACTCAATGCAGGGATGGGGCTAAGAGTTACTATTGCCCTGTCAGAATCTGCATAGCCCCCATCATGCCTTTCAGTGTTTTATTCGATAATCCATCCATCCATTTTCTGATTTGCTTATCCTCACAAGGGTCACGGGGAGTGCTGGAGCCTATCCCAGCCGTCTTCGGGTAGTAGGCGCAGGACACCCTGAACCAATTGCCAGCCAATCGCAGGGCACACAGAGACAAACCATCCACACTCACACTCATGCCTAGGGACAATTTAGAATTATTCAATCAGCCTGCCATGCATGTTTTTGGAATGTGGGAGGAAATCGGAGTACCCGGAGAAAACCCACGCAGGCCCGGGGAGAACGTGCAAACTCCACACAGGGAGACCGTAGCTGGAACTGAACCCGGGAACCTCTGCACTGTGAGGTCAACGCACTAACTTTATTCGATAACTCAAAATATATTTGTTATTTTCTCTCCCCCTCCCCCGCTTATTTATTGGTCAAGCCTCACTTGAAAATCCTAGACCCATGCCTGACACAATGTGTACACACTTGATGGTATTGTTTTAACAAGTCACGTTTTCAAAACACCGCTAAAACTGTCACCAATAATAGTTAAGAAAGTGCAGGCCAGCGGCAGTGTGCACCCGACGTTTATTATGAGTCCCAATTACTGGAAGTTCAAAGGAGGACAAGCCCGCTGCAACAGGATTGGCTGGCTGCAGTCAGGATGCCCGCTGCAATAATGGTTCCTTGCAGGAATGGATCCGGAAGCCCGCATGCATGCCAAGTGAACACGCAGAGCAGCTGGACACGCTTTGCTCACTGATTGCGCAACAACACAGAAATAAGTGAACTCAATATTTTAGCAGTATTTGATAGTAGTGGTGTGCTGCTATGTGTTTTCACATAAAATCAGTGTTTGATCATGAAAATAATGTGTTTACACTTATGTCAATCCAGTACTACCTTTCCAAAGTAGTTTTTTTTTTCTCAGCAGAGTTTTAACTTTTACAGAGATTTTGAGTGCATTTAAAGGACCCTCTATTTTTCCTTTTTACCCAATGTTTTTAAAATACCGCGATTTTTGCTTAAGGTGATCACGCCATCAGACTCTGATATCAATCCACGGCTAGTCAACATACAATTTTATTTTGCGGTCTAAATAAAAGCACATCAAAAGTCTGCTTCTCAGCATCAGAAAATATTGTTAAAAGGCATTACAAGCACTATACTACACCCAGTGGAATAGCGTGGGTGTAAGTAAACAAACTAAAAATAACAATGTTGCAATACTTTATAACATTTTCGAAAAGGCCCGGAGTTCCAGTTGTTAGCGCGTCGACCTCACAGTGCAGAGGTACCAGGTTTGATTACAGGTCCGGCCTTCCTGTGTGGTGGTTGCATGTTCTCCCTGGGCCTGCGTGGGTTTTCTCCGGGTTCTCCGGTTTCCTCCCACATTCCAAAAACATGCATGGCAGGCTGATTGAACACTCCAAATTGTCCCTAGGTGTGAGAGTGAGCGCGGATGGTTGTTCATCGATGTGTGCCCTGCGATTGGCTGGCAACCGGTTCAGGGTGTCCCCCGCCTACTGGCCAAAGATGGCTGGAATAGGCTCCAGCACCCCCCGCGACCCTTGTGAGGATAAAGCGGATCAGAAAACGGATAGATGGATTTCCCTAATGGTGGAGTATTGATTCACACGTTAAATAATGCTATGTACTGTATGTCTAATATGCAAGTAGCGAAAGACAAATTTTGACCATTTCAATAAATGAATTTGACCTTACTCCTACATGCGTTGTCAACGCTGTGTATGAAAATTCCCTACACGCTTTTGCTCCTGAAAAAACAAAACAAAAAAAAACGTGCGTGTGTGTGTGTGTGTATGTGTGTGTGGGTGTGTTTGTGTGTGTGTGTTTGTGTGTGTGTGTGTGTGTGTGTGTGTGTGTGTGTGTGTGTGTGTGTGTGTGTGCGCGCGTTTCTGCTTTGCACTTGCTCCCCAGTGTATCCAGAGACAACAGAATGAGGTAATACTGCCCAATCCATAACCATAGACTAAATTCAAGGACAAGAGTGATGAAGACGAGCTCCCATTGTCGCCACTTCTACGCAAAGCACATCCACTGATTAATTAAACTGCGCAGACACTCGGGTGTTTGGAAAGCAACTTCTTCCCAATTCGGAGAACTTTTTCAATCATTTCTCTCTTGCCTCATGAAAGAAATCCAGCTGCTCTGCTGTTCGATCCCAGCGGGGGTGGCCTCCGATTCCCACCGCCCTCCCCCCTTCCAGTCCCAGTGTGCCCATTCTGGGAACCGCATATAGACAAGAGGCCAGCATCCAATTGCCCCTGCCCCCCCCCCTCCCCCGGCTCCACGGCCCCCAAAACTGCGGCCCCAGACCCTCGGCCTCATTCCCGCCACTCTTTTGTGTGCGTGGGTAGTCGCTCAGCCATGCTATTGTCTGGCCCCGCTCCCCAGCACGTACTCTGTGCACAAACAGACGGCACAGCGGCGCTCGCCAGCCAGCTCGAGCATCAAGAAAACAATGCGCTCCCAAGATCATTCATAAACAGCCAGCCACAGTAAATAAGAACCCGATGCAATGCAACAGCCACTGTGAACCTGCACAAATAAAAGCAGCCGGCGGCCGCAGCGGCTCACATCTGCCTGACGGGATCCGGAGCTTTAAGAGCGGCCGGGTGGTGCACATTTCTTCTGGCGCAAAACACTTCACATGGAAAGCCGGAGGCCATGTGATAGAGCTTAGCTGCAGGGCGACGAGCCGGGATATGTGCAGTCTAACGCCACGGTGTAATAAAACATTCCTGACCAAAGCCTGGCTCATTTTGCTGTTTGTGAGTATGTGTGTGTAGGGGGGGCGAGGGTGGGTGGGGGTAGAGGTACTTGGGAGAAGTTGAGAGGAAAGTACTAAGTGCCCACTGTCTCAACAAGGCCAGCGGTGGGAGCCCTTGACCTCTAAGGGGACGGGCTGCCAGGGACAGCTGGTGTGGTCTATGTTTATTTATTTATTTGGGAACAAAAGACAGGTGGTCACACTTGAAAAGGGCACACAAACACGCTCACGTATGTGCGTGTGCGTAGATCACACTCACATACTCACACAGACAAACACGAACTCACAAACAGAGAGTAGTCCCCATCCAATCCACCGGCATGATGCACTTTTTTTTTTTTTTTGGTACTTTACTTTCATAGAATTGAAGTCACAGTGGCCCAGAGATGCTGTGTGAGAGATGCTGTTCCCGAACTGAAATGCAAAAGAAATACTGTACTGGATGCAAAGAGAGGCAGATAACAGTGTTAAATGCAGGATTGCATATTTTCGCAATCCCCAGATACTGTACAATACAAATTTGTGCCCAACTGGCTGTTAACAGTATAGAGATGACTTCATCGGCAAATTAATCGGTCGCTTAAGAAAGTGTTGTGACATTGTTACTTTCCTGATTTCAACTTGATAAAAAAAAATAAATAAATAAAATACAGTATACGTTTGCGAGATTAAAGCCTAGAATCAAAGCTTACTGCCACCGAATAATGAATAAGCTACTCTTGGGAAATGGTGATGTGATTTCTGCGAAGCATTTAGCATACAGTATTTTGCTTATGAATCGTGTGGGGTTTTTTTTGTTTCTTTTTTTTCACGATTTGACTGTCAGCATTCACACAAGAAAAAGCTTGACGCTGTGCGAAACCAGGAAAACGCCTCTCTCTGCAGATTCATTTTGATGCACACCTATTTAATGAAATACATGTCTCCGCATTCACACATTTTGATGCATCATAGTATAAATATGAATGTTTTCTCTCAACATTAACTAATTTTTTGAAGTACAAAAACATGTATACATGAAGTTATCATAACTGATGAAACAGAAATTAGTGAATGAACAATAGCATGGAGAATGAATGCTTGTCTCCGCATCAAGAAAATATTTTTGACGCAGTGTAACAATGTGAGTGCTTGTCTCTCAGCGTTGACAATCACATTTTTGTAGCGTGACAGCATCAACGTAAATGCTTGTCCCTCAGCAATTGATGTACAAATGCATTAAAGTGAACGCTTGTCTCTCAGCACTGACACATTGGAGTATTCATGCAACTGGTTTACTCATCACACTGACATTTTTAAGCATTCGAACATAGATATGAATGTTTACGTTGACCACTGGCAATCCTTTTGACGCACTATAACATTGTGAATGTATCTCTCTGCATTCAGACATTATTTGGCGAATAGCATTATTGCCTGTTCTTTTCGGAATATCTACACCGTATTAAATTCCGATTTGGGTTTTGCCTGTCGAGACAGCATTCAGACTACAATAGCTAGAAGTGCAGCCAACATGGAAACCACAGAGCGGTCTATGGATGGAAAACAAGAAATTGTGCATAATGACAGAAGAAGGAAAACCAATCAGAGCCTTCGCCAATATCACCATTGAATGCCCTGAAGAAAATAGAAACCACTTGCATACTAAGTACACCGAACGGTTAGCACACGGAAAACAACTGACGGTGACGACAAACATTTTCAGAGCTGTAAAGAAAGATGCTAACACAACCTCCAACGGGCAGGAGTGGCGATCAGGAACATGCAAAAGTACACAGACATACCGTAGAGTTGCGCTCCCAAATTTATATCCTGTACCTCTCACCCTTGGGTATGTAATGTAAACTTATGAGAACCACTTGATTAGAAGGTGCAAACCAATCTCTTCTGCCCTAACCATGCGTTTGAGATGATAGCATGACGTAGACAGCGAGCTAAACAATCCTCCAATAAAAACACGAAGATGAGAGTCCACCGTTTGGTATTTTTATGGAAGGATTGTTTAGCTCGCTGTCTACGTCATGTTCTCATCTCAAACGCATGGTTAGGGCAGAAGAGTAAAAAGATTGTGCCTGAACGTGTCAAAGGATGGAAGTGGATGTTATCACACCTCTCCACTGTTATGAATCAAAATGGCTACCCCACTCACTTTTTGGGTGGTTCTAACTACAGTACTTCCACCACTAGGGGCACTGTACTGCGCTGTAATACAATACTTCCATCACTAGGGGCACTGCACCGCACTGTAATCCAATTACTGGGGGAAGAATACAATCAAAGATGCGATCAACTGCAAGAACCCATAACAAAAAAAACGAGGCAATCGAGGGCCAAGAAGTGGAAGGTGCCATGTCTGCCAAGTCATTCTGCAGACATAAACCTTACAGAGCATGAGTTTTATCCAATGAAGCCCCTCAATAAATAAATAACTAGAAGAAGCGGTGGAGCTGGGCAAGCATCACAAAAGACGAATGAAAGTTTGGGGACAGATGCCTGACGCAGTTATTGCAAGCAAAGAATTTGGAAATTGATGTTAAGTCATTTTCGCACTAAGATGTGTATCAGATCCAGATGTAACGAGCTGGAAATAAAAGCCGAACTGCTGCTCTCTTGCCTCATATTCAACTTTTCATGTCAAACCCAAATGTTTGTAGGCCAACAGCAAAATTGAAGGAACTGGCCTCACTGTTGCGCTACGATTGCAGGGCAGCCGACGATCAGACACGCTCCGTGCTACCCACCTGTGCAAGCACTTGAAGTGCACGAATGTGCTCTCACCGCTCCTTTTTAGGAGCGGAACACCCCGACGGCACCGAGACAGACTGCCCTTGGTCCACTGTACAGCTGTCACTTACACACGCTCATTGACTCATATTTATAGCAGAAGCATCATCGGACTTGACGCTGGCCACAGATCACAGCTGGTCCCCCCTCCCCCCAAAAGAATAGCTGAAAGACAAAGCCACGTGCTCCCGCTGGCTGGCTGCAGTGGGGGTTTTGTGGGCCTCCCCCCTCTTTTTTTTTTTTTTTTTTTGGAAGCCACTCGCAGAGTGGGATATATCCACACTGATATGGTGACAGCTGGATTGTCTTGTAAAGTCATTACATCGCAATGGAGTTAACGAGAAAGCGGGACCATCAGCTTCCAATCGTGGAAAGTCGCGGACGGTCGTAACCGATCCCAACAGAAAAATAAAAGTCACCCCTCCCCCACCCTGAAACCTTTTAAATGTTGTTTTTTTTTTAATGTCCGACAATTTAATATCAATAATACATTGACAAAAATAGTCCCTTTGGGATTAACATGTTACAAAACTCAACAAAATGAATCTTTGTCCTTGAAAATGTAACACAAAATCCCGCATGTGCTACGTGGCACTCCAGGTAGGGTGTCTTTTTCTTTTTTCTATCAAGGTCCACACAACATGCTACAATTTCAGCCCTACACTGGAAATGCTCTCTGATGGCGCATTTAAGGATGGTGAGGAAGTTTACTTCATGTTGCCCTCATGTTGGGGAACTTCTCATTTTTAAGTCACTCTGCTGGAAATAGCCGGGTAAAAATTGGCTGTGACTTGAAAGAAAACCAATGATGATCATATAACCCGAGATGGAAATGTGCCATCTTATACTGAGAAGCCAGACGAGTTACATCAATTCCAGTTGGATGGTCAACGGTCATCATTTTCTTTCATTGATTTTATCATTTTGAATTAAATTGAGCAAAATCTTCAAATTGTATAAAATCATAAAAGTGAAAAGAGCGACACAACAACAAGATCGTAAAGGCATATTCTTGTCATAAATGCCACGTTCCGAATAGCCTCATCAAAACATGACTTTTCTGTAGCCTTGGGATTTTTTTTTCTCTGAGAAAAAAAAACCCACACTGTACAGTAACTAATGTAATCACTTCAATCTCATTGGTGATTTTAGATTATCGAAGTAACTGGTGTCTTTTCTGACTTCCTTCAAGCCTTATCAAAAATTGCACAGACAATTGTCACCTTTGCTTTCCAGCAACGGTCCATCCGCTAAGCCGGAACTCAAGGCGACCAACCGCAGAGCTCCCAAAAAGGCCCGAGCCTCCTCCGACAGACCCACTGAGCAAGGGATGTGACTCAACAGATCATACGCACATTTGCAATAAGCTCCAGGAAGTGCACTCATCCAAGCTAATATCCATTACACCGGGTCATGTGACCAGTTCCTATAAAGCCGCGCCGAGGACTCCTGCAACTAAAAACAATTACTCAGTGTACAACGTTGTGACCCTGAGAGCAGCCATCTTCAGTGAGGGGGGGCCAGAGTCAAAGAGAAAGTGATGACTACACCGCAAGGTCATGTCCAGCAGGGATAATGCACAAGCAGTTTCGTCTCACCTCTGGCTCTGCTTGTTTTATTAAAAAAAAACATTTGATAGCAGGCACAACTGAAGGTCAGAGTAGGCTGAGTGGATTGGAATTCCATTGCCATCAGAAGGAGATAACTTTCTAATAATGCAACTGTTATTATTTTAAGACAGGCAAGATCGTCTCATCCAATTGAGTTCTTGTACTGTGTCGCCACCTGCTGGCCAAATAACACAACTATTTATTTTCTTCCCCACCAGCTAAAAATCTCACGGTCGCTGATATTTGATTATTGCACATAACAGATGAACTAAATATTTGATCCCCAAGAAAATTTCTTATTTACGTTAGGAATGTACCGAGGTATTTCTTGTAGCTGCTCATCAGGTTGACATAAACTCAAAAGGGATTTTGGTCCACTCCTCCGAAGAGAAACTCTCAAGCCTCCCAATGCAATGACATCAGAGTGTACCCTCTGCAGAATAAAAAGCCCAAAAGGTGTTTCAACTTCTATTCCTTGACTGTGGGGATGGTGTTCTGTTGGCTCATACAAAAAAATAAATTGTCATCCTACACATTTACTTGTGGGTGAAGTAGGAGCTCGATTTTCGTTACATCTGCCCACGGCGCTTCCTCACAAGCCGCCGAGTCAAGTTTTGTGACTCATTCGAGTCTTATGCAGGTCTAAAATATTGACCGTGATACATTTTGACAGCACTTTAGTCGAAGAGAGATTGACACCAGAATTCGTGCAAAGATGCACATTTTACACACGAGTTGAGATTATGAGTATTGTAATTGTGCAGAACTGTGTGCCATAAGGGTGTTGTTTTCTTTGTTAGTGAGGAAACAAAAACAAATTCATCAGGGGACAAATATTTCCCCTTACTGAAGCTGAACAATCGTCACACACACAAAAAATAAAAACTTGAACAGTCAAAATGACATAAAAATGTTCACGTTTATTTTAATATATATCTACACACACACACACACATTTCGATCATAAGAAAAAAAAAAGACAATTATCATTTAAAAAAAAATGCAGCCTGAGTCTTACATTAAGTGAGGATACTGCGTATTCAAGTATAAACTCGTGTGCTAGACTTCGATTACGTGGAACAACTGCAGCACAGCACTTCATCATAACGCCCACTGTAACTGTGAAGGAGAAAAAAAAAATTATATATATTACTACGTGCACACACATGCACACACTACTACTTTCAACCAATGCTTGAAATAAAACAAGCACATATGCTTAAGCGGTAAACAGACCATTGTCTTATCTCTCTTGAAATGAGCTGCAATGTAAAACTTCAAGGGCACTGACGTTCAAGGATTCTTAGAGTCTGTACAGATAAGATTTCCTCGCTATACACCTGAACTTCAGCTGTGCAAAATGTGAAAGGTCTTACTGTTTAAAACATGGAGCAAAGCCTACCTTTGATGCGTATCGCTTTTGACTGAGGTTTATTTTGAAACCAGCACTTTCCTGTTGGTTGAACTCTAATGTTGAGTATAAACAGAGAGCACTGGTCCAAGTGTGAGCTGGCGTCTTCAGTTCTATTTTATTCAATTCCAAGTGTCACTGTTAGATTCCGCACCGAGACACTTGTCAAGGGGCATGCACAAAAAAAGTCAAAGATATGAATTGGGTTGAAAATCGTAAAAAATTTAAAAAAAAAAGATTAGTAAGAGAAGGCCAGCTGATGACGAGCGTTCTTGTACTGTTTTTTTAACCATATTTTTGTGGGATTTTTAAGTCATTGAAGTTGTTTTTTTTTTTTTTTTAGTGTGCATCACAGATGCCACTCTTTTGGACACATTTTATGACGGGGTGCACATGGTTAAAGTGATGGGTGGCATCGCGTGCGTATACACGCACATGCACACCCTATTTGCAGTCTGGATGTGCTGGAGTCTCAGAGACTCGAATAATACTACAAAAGTCGCAATATTATTAGTAATTTTTTTAAAGGAAAAAAAAGTTGGGAGAGAAGTAGGACGTAACCACATTTTTTCATCAAAGTTGTTTAGCGTTTGTTTTTAGATTGCGGAATGATACTTGGGATTTCTTGAATTTTAAAAAAAAATGCATAATGTCTTCTTTAAAAATAAAATGTTGGTTCCGATAGGGGCATTTTGGCACATATGGCCACAATTTCAGCCTGTTTAATGCCAATCGATGACAATGCTGATACCATACTTTATCATCTCTATAAGGGTTTTACCTGAAGGGCTGTTTGTTCAATGGTGGTACTGATAACGCAAAACAACATGGGACCTACTCGATGACGGTGCAGACAGAACAGCAGAGGCTTGCGCAGTTTGAACACTTTCGGCTGCAGGAGGAACAGGGAAGTCGTTCGCATTGCGAACAAGCTGTGCTGCATGGTGCGCTCTTCTGACATACGCAGCAGCCTGATGGAGGCAGCCCTGGAAACAAAAATTGTTTATTTTTCTTTTTTAAACACACTGTAAAGAGTCCATTCATTCAACTTCTACACTGCTTGTCCTCATTAGGGTCACAAGTGAGCTCGAACCAAATTAGAACTTTTGTGCCTCAAATGTTTTTGGTTTTTAACTATAAGCTACAAAACTTAACATTCATTTTCTACTGGACTTGTGATCTTTTGGGTCACGGGTTGGCTCAAGATGATCCGAGATGACTGAATAAGAGGTGGAGTCCACCCTGGATTGGCCGCCAGTCAAACACATGGAAAATATACAGTAGACATGACAAGCATTCACGCGAATGGACAATTTAGCGCCTCAGATTGGAACAATATCGCACTAAAAAAGGAGAACTCGCACAAACTTTCAACACCATCTACTGGTAAAATTCCAGACCTTCCAATTGCGCCTTATAAACAACTACTTAAAAAAATAAATAAAAATCTATCACGATTGCTCAGACTGCTCCTAATGGACAAGTCCATTTTATTGCACTACCACGAAGATGATACAAACTTTGTGACGCGGCGGTGAGTAAAATGCAGTGGCAGCTGCATTCGGTACATTCTAAAAATTTGCTCCAAATAAAAGTCAGACGAAGTATATTTTACCTAAGCTTTGAAATTAATCAAAAATTGACTACCAATCAATACGGGAGATAATCGATTAAAAAAAGGCCACAGGCTGGAGGTTTAGGATGCTTATAAAATCAATTGAAAAATAACAGGTTTGGCATTTTTGAATGTCAGCCTGCTAATTTAGTGACAAATGCAGTACACTGCTTGACTCACACGAATGTCAATGCTTCACCAGCTATGAACCACCAAATAACTCACCTTGTGTCCTGATTGCTTTGGTCAGTCTTCCGTCAGTTCCTATCAAAGTCTGTCCTCTTAAGAGAGTCTGGCTGCTTTGAACAGTCTCTCGTCCAGATGCACGGGGGTCGCTGGTCCTCTCTTCGCCGGACCACACTTTGTCCACTACAGCCTTGGCGCCATTAAAAAGTAAGTTCTTTGTCTTTTCTGTGAAATGCAAAGACGGGAGATGAACCGAAAACACCGCTAGGTCGGGTATTAGCTAGTTTTCTTGCCGCTGGGGGGGGGCTGACTTCAGTATTACGATGATACTACCCTCTTTAATTAGCTCAAAAGATACCAATAAGTTGTACGTGACACGACCCAAACTGTGTTCCTTATGTGCAAATGCAGCTGGCACAGCGTCGCGACATTTAAGATAGCAACTTAGCATAACAACGGGGCTAACTTTAGCTCATGTCGAAGAACGTCACCGAACACGCACTTACCGTATATTTCTTTCCTGTATTTATTCCCCAACACGCTGGAATGACTCAACTCATGCTGCCTGACGTGTACTTTGTACTGGGACGAGAAGGTTTCCGTAAAAGGATATGCTCGCTTCGGCATATTTGCTGCAGTGAAGTCCAAAACAGCCGATGTAAAAATGTCCCGCTTAGTTTTGCGGGAAAAATGTTCGGGTAGACTAAAACAGCCAATTGGACGCAGGGTTTGTTGTCACGTGGATATTTAAAGGCCAATCACAGAACTTTTCATTGTCACGTGTTGTAGATTTTGATGTACTGTGCTGCATTCAGGGTATGTGTAATTTACGATTTTACGCCAAGAAATCGAGCGTCAAACCAAACTACGGTACTGTAGAGCTAAAAGAAATGCAAGCACATTAGCACAAAGTTCAATGCGCGTGTTGCGACGTCCTCTTTGTCTTCAAAATGATGATGTTATACAAAAGTATTTGTACTTATTTACTGCCCACTTCTATTTTCGACCACAAAAGAAAAGCAAATAAAGTGGAAACCAGGCTTACATTTGTGAATTATTTATTTAGAATGGTGATGAGGGGATCGCTTCGAGATAAAAATGGCACATCTGTGCAGCCGTGAAATGAAGAGCAGGGCTTTGCCCTCTAAAACATCTGGATCATGCACTCCCTGGACTTTCCAACACCGACCCACTTAACTGTTGGGGGAGGGAGAGAGAGCGTGTGTGAGAGAGAGAGAGAGGGAAAGAGCGAGGGAGAGAGAGAAAGAGAGAGAGAGAGAGAGAGAGAGAGAGAGAGAGAGAGGGAGAGAGAGAGTCACATGTAAACTCCTTGGCATCAACTGCAAGGTAAAATCTGAATTTTAAGTTAAAACCTACTAGGAACTCCAATGTGGTTCTCAATGAAGCGGATGTAGTTCTGTGCCTTGACTGGCAGCTCACTCCACTTACGGGCTGCAGATGTGTCTGTCTTCCACCCAGGGAAGGTCTCATACTCAACTTCCACTTTTTGCAAAACATCCATGTTTGCTAGGATTCAAATACACACAGTAAGAATACAGCGCTAACATAAATGTCACCTGGCCTTTCATCACCTCATCTCCAAAAATCACCTGGAAAATGTGGAATTCTTTTCCCGTTGAGTTTGTAAGCGATGCCTACTTTAATTTCCTCCAACACATCCAAAATGTCAAGTTTTGTCAAAGCGATGCTGCAGGAAGGTTGATGGAGTTGAAGAGGAATAGAGAAAGCATTGTGAAATAATTATCAATAAGACTGTGCAGTATAAAAAGTACAAAACAACAAGCTCGCTCCACATAATGACTTTTTTCAACACTCACGCAGTGAAGCCATTGATCATGTGTGCGTATCTGACAATGACAAGATCCAACCAGCCGCAACGTCGCTTCCTCCCTGTGGTCACACCCACCTCATGACCCCTGGTCTGTAGTAGTTCTCCGTCTGCCTACAAATAAAAAAACAAATATAATATTAAATTGCATCTCTCTTTGGCTGTGTTAGTCTAAATTTAGCATAACTTTCTATGGAAATATAAGCTAGTGAGTGTGTTTACGCAGACAACAAAGTAATTGACAATGAAACAGCACATTGGGAACACTGTAAGTTTAAACATTGCGTCTTATATGTTCCCTCAGTAGTAATACGAGTCTGCTGGTCACACAAAATGTATTCAGAATGTGACCTCTGGCCCTAAATTTATCCCTGCCTGTGACGTGCGAGCTGAAGGGTCAGTCAGTCAATTAACGCCTCACATGCCCTCGGGGCTAAGTGCCTGAGTCCAAGGTCATGAGCAGATTCAAAATCAAGCTTAAAGTGAGTACGTTACAAATGCTTTCATTTGATTTGATACAATAAGGCGAGGTCCACTCATAGCGTTTTTCTGTAACTGTAATTTTATCCGACCCTAACCATGACGATGGAAAAATTGCCAGTTACATCAATGTCTTACATTGAGTTGTTCAGTGGGGAAAGCTCCAATTCCCACTCGGGTGGTGTAGGCCTTTGCTACACCAAACACATCGCCAATATTGAGCGGGGGGATGCCGAGGCCAGTGCATGCTCCGCCCACAGTGCAGTTTGATGATGTCACAAAGGGATATGTACCTATAGAGCGCATTTATCATCAAAGCACAGCAATTGTAATTCTGTCCATGTAAAGACGTTTTTAGAAATCCTACCAAAGTCAATATCAAGGAGAGCAGCATTGGCCCCTTCAACCAGAATTTTCTTTGGAGATCCATGAAGAGCTTCGTACATGTAATAGACTCCATCTCTGACCATGGGCCGCAATCTTTCACCGTACTCCTGCAGAGCCAAACAGAGCTTAACTTTTGGAAGCAGCCTCTAAGATACCGATTGTGGTTCACGTCTCTACCCGAAGCTTTTTCAGTTGGTCCTCAACGTCGACTGTCATGGTTGGATACATGGACTGATACTGGCGGACGAGGTTCTTGAATCTGAAGGGGATTCATGCAAGCCGTAATATGACATGGAGGAGGATATGATGGCAACAGAATGAGGTTGATGTTATCGCCGTACTTGCTAGCAAAGTCTTTCCAGTCACCCAGAAGGTCGCATACACGAAGACCTGTGCGAGATGCTTTGCTGGAGTATGCAGGTCCAATGCCCTTCTTGGTTGTTCCAATACTAATATGAAAAAGCAAATCGTTAAAATACATCTGTACTAATTCATAGTAAGAATGATCGTGTCAGATCTCAAGTGTTGAAGCGTACTTCTTTCCCTCTTGCGCCTGTCTTTCAGTTTCCTGTAATCCATCGACAACCTGGTGGAAATCAAACACTGAGGAGGGAAAATAAGTTCACAGAAAGTCCAAAAAACAACAACAACAAAAACAAATCCAGCGCCATACGCACCAAGGTGAGCCCGATCTGAGACAATGAGTCTCTTCTCCCAGCCTTTCAACCCTGATGAGAGAGGACTGACAATTATAATAAGGAATATTTTTTTCACCCTATACAATCATTCACGGAGCACTTAATTATTCTCAGCATACCAACAAGAAGCACATTTCAACATTCTGCCTTTCCAAAAGATAACAATGCCCAATTTTATTGACATTGCGAGAGGTGTTAATACACGCAATACATTAATTATTGTGCCATCAATTTCTGCCACATTGAAACGTCACATTTTGGTTACTATCAAGATGGGTGGAATATTTAAAAAAAAAAACATGATGCGTGACACTTATCTACCACTGCAAATGACAAAAATAAAGTGTTGAATTAATACCTCTCTTAATAATATTAGATTATATTTGTAAAGACAGAATTGAGGATTGAATAAGTCAGACCTTTCTTCTCATTTTTGTCCCCCTCCTCAAACAGGCCAGGCAAATGTATGACCACGCCGTTACCTACAAGATCAGAGAGAAGATATCAAAGAGTTGAGACGAAACACATTTGTGGTTAAGATTTATTTGAATCAAATTGTGTCCCTTGTTGTTTTTACCAATGAGTGAGATGCTTTTGGTGTTGATGATTCCACTGGGGAGAAGGTGGAAGTCGTACTCTTTACCGTCCACTACCACCGTGTGTCCTGCATTGTTGCCCCCCTGGGAATAAAAAGCAGTCAAATAAAGATAAATCAACATTGCCACCACATTTTCTGGTGACCACTTCCCCCCCCCTCCTCCCAACATGACCCAAACAAGGAAATGTGTGACGTTCCTACAAGACTTTCGTTTGAACTTTGTGACCCTGTGTGAAAAAAAGACAATTGGGGTTTGTAGGCATTCATGTTTTGACTCAAAACTTTTTTTTGGCTAGAAATGACTTCACCTTAAAGCATCACAATGACTTCAAGCAGACATCCAGAACTCAGACTCTGATCCAACTGAAAAGATGTGGGAGCTGCACACAAGACATACCCTCTCGTAATATGACTGACGGGTACACGCTTATGCAACCAGTTTATTCAATTATATGATACAATATTTTACCATGGGCAGCATAATGAAGGGTTCGAATCTCAGCGTGTGTTTACGCAGACAACAAAGTAATTGACAATGAAACAGCACATTGGGAACACTGTAAGTTTAAACATTGCGTCTTATATGTTCCCTCAGTAGTAATACGAGTCTGCTGGTCACACAAAATGTATTCAGAATGTGACCTCTGGCCCTAAATTTATCCCTGCCTGTGACGTGCGAGCTGAAGGGTCAGTCAGTCAATTAACGCCTCACATGCCCTCGGGGCTAAGTGCCTGAGTCCAAGGTCATGAGCAGATTCAAAATCAAGCTTAAAGTGAGTACGTTACAAATGCTTTCATTTGATTTGATACAATAAGGCGAGGTCCACTCATAGCGTTTTTCTGTAACTGTAATTTTATCCGACCCTAAACATGACGATGGAAAAATTGCCAGTTACATCAATGTCTTACATTGAGTTGTTCAGTGGGGAAAGCTCCAATTCCCACTCGGGTGGTGTAGGCCTTTGCTACACCAAACACATCGCCAATATTGAGCGGGGGGATGCCGAGGCCAGTGCATGCTCCGCCCACAGTGCAGTTTGATGATGTCACAAAGGGATATGTACCTATAGAGCGCATTTATCATCATTCTAAAAAGCACAGCAATTGTAATTCTGTCCATGTAAAGACGTTTTTAGAAATCCTACCAAAGTCAATATCAAGGAGAGCAGCATTGGCCCCTTCAACCAGAATTTTCTTTGGAGATCCATGAAGAGCTTCGTACATGTAATAGACTCCATCTCTGACCATGGGCCGCAATCTTTCACCGTACTCCTGCAGAGCCAAACAGAGCTTAACTTTTGGAAGCAGCCTCTAAGATACCGATTGTGGTTCACGTCTCTACCCGAAGCTTTTTCAGTTGGTCCTCAACGTCGACTGTCATGGTTGGATACATGGACTGATACTGGCGGACGAGGTTCTTGAATCTGAAAGGGATTCATGCAAGCCGTAATTTGACATGGAGGAGGATATGATAGCAACAGAATGAGGTTGATGTTATCGCCGTACTTGCTAGCAAAGTCTTTCCAGTCACCCAGAAGGTCGCATACACGAAGACCTGTGCGAGATGCTTTGCTGGAGTATGCAGGTCCAATGCCCTTCTTGGTTGTTCCAATACTAATATGAAAAAGCAAATCGTTAAAATACATCTGTACTAATTCATAGTAAGAATGATCGTGTCAGATCTCAAGTGTTGAAGCGTACTTCTTTCCCTCTTGCGCCTGTCTTTCAGTTTCCTGTAATCCATCGACAACCTGGTGGAAATCAAACACTGAGGAGGGAAAATAAGTTCACAGAAAGTCCAAAAAACAACAACAACAAAAACAAATCCAGCGCCATACGCACCAAGGTGAGCCCGATCTGAGACAATGAGTCTCTTCTCCCAGCCTTTCAACCCTGATGAGAGAGGACTGACAATTATAATAAGGAATATTTTTTTCACCCTATACAATCATTCACGGAGCACTTAATTATTCTCAGCATACCAACAAGAAGCACATTTCAACATTCTGCCTTTCCAAAAGATAACAATGCCCAATTTTATTGACATTGCGAGAGGTGTTAATACACGCAATACATTAATTATTGTGCCATCAATTTCTGCCACATTGAAACGTCACATTTTGGTTACTATCAAGATGGGTGGAATATTTAAAAAAAAAAACATGATGCGTGACACTTATCTACCACTGCAAATGACAAAAATAAAGTGTTGAATTAATACCTCTCTTAATAATATTAGATTATATTTGTAAAGACAGAATTGAGGATTGAATAAGTCAGACCTTTCTTCTCATTTTTGTCCCCCTCCTCAAACAGGCCAGGCAAATGTATGACCACGCCGTTACCTACAAGATCAGAGAGAAGATATCAAAGAGTTGAGACGAAACACATTTGTGGTTAAGATTTATTTGAATCAAATTGTGTCCCTTGTTGTTTTTACCAATGAGTGAGATGCTTTTGGTGTTGATGATTCCACTGGGGAGAAGGTGGAAGTCGTACTCTTTACCGTCCACTACCACCGTGTGTCCTGCATTGTTGCCCCCCTGGGAATAAAAAGCAGTCAAATAAAGATAAATCAACATTGCCACCACATTTTCTGGTGACCACTTCCCCCCCCCTCCTCCCAACATGACCCAAACAAGGAAATGTGTGACGTTCCTACAAGACTTTCGTTTGAACTTTGTGACCCTGTGTGAAAAAAAGACAATTGGGGTTTGTAGGCATTCATGTTTTGACTCAAAACTTTTTTTTGGCTAGAAATGACTTCACCTTAAAGCATCACAATGACTTCAAGCAGACATCCAGAACTCAGACTCTGATCCAACTGAAAAGATGTGGGAGCTGCACACAAGACATACCCTCTCGTAATATGACTGACGGGTACACGCTTATGCAACCAGTTTATTCAATTATATGATTCAATATTTTACCATGGGCAGCATAATGAAGGGTTCGAATCTCAGCTGTGACCTTCCTATATTGAATTTGCATATTCTCCCCTCCCCGTATTTGCACGGGTTTTCTCTGGGTCCTCCATGTTCCTTCCACATTCCAAAAACATTCGGTTAAGTTCCCTGAATTCTAAATTGATAAGTGTCATTGTGAGTACGAATGGTTGCTTTTCTCCAGCCCAGGATGTTGTTCGCCTCTCAGTCAGCTGGGATTGGTTGCACCTCACTCATGAGCAGACAAAAAAAAAAAGGTATTGCTTTTCTTATATTATTCTAAGATGTATTTTTCAATTCCGGTGTGGTTGTGCATCACATTTTTTTTAAACATGGATCACTCTATAAAACAATATTAAGACCGTCGTTGACAATCCATGGTCTTTTCCACTTCACATAGTCTGCCCGCCCTATTTTAACACCCCTGGCTCAGAATCTGCTGTTGGGGCCACGTCTGCCCTCCCTCTCAGACTTGGCCTTCTCACATATCAAGCCACTCTGAGAATGTGACTTGCTCTATAGTGCACTGGTTGTGTAAAGGAGGGATCTGGCTTGTGCTGTTGGAAAATAAAGTACAACGTCCAGCCACTGTTGGCAGCTCGTCCAGAACTGGACTGACCAATGATTTCTGACCAGTGTTATATCTCACATGCGAGTAATCTGAAGCCGACTCAATGTTTTTATTATGATAGTCAATCAACGCACGCACATAAACATCGCATTACGTGAAAAATCAATGCAACGTGATAAGTATTTTCTCGCCGGTTTTCAAAATGTACAAAAGAAATTTGAAACAAAAGCTACCGGTCGTCCATTATCATACTTCGGCACGACTGCAACTTGGCTTCGAGTACAATTACCTGACATCTGCAGACAACGTCCGCTTCAGTGGCCAGCAGGTCGACCACTTTTCCTTTGCCCTCGTCGCCCCATTGCGCACCCAACACCACCGTCACTTTGTTGCCCACGTCGTTGCGCGGCCGCTTCAGTCCCGCGGCGGCGGCGGCGGCGGCCTGGTTGGCTTTTTTGTGCTCTTTGGCCGACCAACTGTGCGACATGGCCGAGGCTTCGGTCCTGGCCGTCTCAGGAGGACTAGCCGTCTCGAAGAGCGAGCATTGCCATATCCGTAAGGCTGATGATGTCACAGACAGACCCACCACCGGCGGGCGTTCATGGTCGTCCACAAACGCACTCGTTCGGTGTTCACGCAATAAAAACCTCAATTGGCAATGTACTTTTATTAAAGCAGATTAAGCGTTAAAAGTTACAATACAGTATCCTTAAGAGTGATTTATACGATACACGTTTAAATATTTCCTGCATTTTTTCTTTATATTACCATCTCAAAATGTTAAACGCACACACATCCACTTTTACATTACAAAAACTAAACATATAAAGCATTGTCCAATTTTTCGAAGAGGTTACAGTCAAATACAATTTACATAAAGGGACATGTTTAGTTCCAAAAGGCTGTGCAAATCACAGTTTGGGTTGAGTTGATAAGGTCTTGGTCTAAGAAACAATCTTCTGTAATCTCACAAAAATAAAATTCTCAGTATACTGGAGTCTTGCCAGTTCACATCTGCGGTGACATCAACTTTTTCTTTTTCCTCTTGATCTCCTTTTTTTGGAATCTAGTAAAGGAGGGAAATAAGAGTAAATAAGTACACTTTTACATTTAAAAGCAATTCTCATGATTGATCATGAGAATTGCTCGAGAAATGTATTTATTTAGGTAATTAACTGTAATGCAGATGAACTATTTAAATAATAGAGAGAGCAGTTTACAGGAAGCACATGAGACTCATTAGTAGATTAAAAACAACCCCAGGAGCAGAATTAAGGAATGGACGGGAAAATATGGATGACACAAGAGTGAAGGCTGCCATGACAAATTCATTCACAAGACGGACTGGAATGAGAAAAAAATGACTGCAATTCTAGATATATACATTGTTTTTTCTTTTGAGTAAATTAAACAACTCCAATATTTTTTTGAAGCACTTGTTGGGACTTATCAATGACCGCATCATTGAAAGAGAAGTGTTAAAAGCTGGACAACACAGACAAATGGAATCCAGATCCCAGTTAGACCAACAAATGGTGTTATTTGCCACAAAGTTTGGACGGTGACTGAGTTTATTAGGATGATGTTCCTTGCTTACTGTTTGCCATCCTACCGCTTGACCGACCTCACTGCAACACACAGCCCTTTTTAGGTTTAGTGTGTCCTTTCCCACTGTTACCTTGTGTTTTAGAGAGTAAGAACGGAAAACAGCATTCAAACAAACTGTCCATTGGCAAACAAGCATTAAGACTTCAAATCAAAATCTGCATCCGTTGTCTTTAATTAAGAGAGGCACAGATTGGTAAATTCTCACAATGAAGTACTAAAATCATATAGAAAGCAGAGTGCAATAAAAATAAAGCAAAAAAATCTTCCTTGAAGACATTTCACAAGGCTGGCATTCCAAAGCGTTTTATTTAAGGTAGATACTTTACCTGGATTCTTCTTTTTGTTGCGCTTAAAGAAGCTTGGCTGTTTCTTTGGTTCGGGGTTTGCCGAGGAAGTTATATCTTCAGACACTGACGGCGCATCTTCAGATTCGACTCCAACTTGGCCGTCGCTCACCAAGATGCTCTCCATATGAGTCTTGGTGCATTTGGGGTCTGCGTGCGTGCAGCTCACGACCACGTCCTGCCCAGATGATTTCACAGCACACAAATCTCGACCTGCCGCTTGTCCTTCAGCCTCTTGTAAACAAATCTTATTCGTAATTTGACTGTCCTCTTCTGCCTTTGGATTCCTTTCACTAGCGTCAGTGTTTTCGGCCAGTTGAACATTCACACTAATGTCTGCCGGCTCCTTGGCTGTTAACTTCTCAGGTAGCGGGCTCGAAGCTTCATCCGCCACAGCCTCTATCGGGTCGCAGTCTGATAGCGAGGATGGGCTGAGCGCACTGGTTTCAGGTGAATCTACAGAAAGACCATCTGTGCAGTGACATGGCTGGGGTTCCACCTCGAGGTTAGTTTGGGGTGCTGTTGCGGTATGCTCCTCCTGTTGCGATGTCGGCCTTTCCTGGGGCGCCGGCGCAATCGAGGCCGATTCCCCTGGAGTTGGTTGGGGTGAGGCTGCCGCTTGCACCGCATCCTGAGGCGTCGAAGGAGTCTCGTCCGGTGAGCTGATGAAGCCGTTCACCTCGCGGGTGCTGGCTCGGTGAGCTTCTGCTGGAAGCGTGGTGGGAGCGGAAGCGGAAGAGGCCACTTCTGCGGATTTTTCGCCTGCAGAATTCACACTTGACCCTGAATGGGGAAATGTCAACGGTATTACTCGAACCGTTAAGAAAATTACAAAGGGGCATCACAAAACTCAAATGGGACTCAGCGTACAGACCTGCGCCAAGTTTGAACTGTTAACAAAAGGGAAGAAGAACATCCGTCTGTTAACTCGTTCACTTCCCAAAGACGTTTTTAAACGTCTTTTCAGACTTGGTCCAGAATTGGCTGGTACTGAATGAGTTAAGCAGGCCTCCTAATTTACAGGATGGGACTGTAACATTATTTAGGAATGGGATAACAGTTCCAATGTGAGTCAAACAGCAATTTAAAAAAAAAGTTTGCCAATCTCGGTCACCCCAAAATTGGTCAATTTGGCTTGTTGACACAGTCAAATTTTCTGAGCTACTTTACCGACCATCAAGCGGGCACCCATTTTCTCAGCAAAGGGCTTTTTGACCCATGTCTGCTGGAAACAACAAAGAAAAAATACAAAAAGTGCCCGCTACAATCACAACTATACTTCTTGGCGGAGGTAATGAGTGAGGATGCAAGGCAATACATTTCCCAAGCGCGTACATAAAAAGCTAATGCAGGCAGAAGGACATTAAAGGGCACAAAAAAAAGAAAAAGCAACAAGCCTGTGTGGCACGCAGTTAAGTGACTCAGGAGCGGAGCTAGAACTGCGGATTGGCGGCCACAGTCTCTTGTCCTTACCGGGTGGGCAGGTATCCCTACTCTTTTCACTACGAGGGAGGCTTTCCGAATCGCACCTTGGCCTGGTCTTTCTTAGGGTGAAACCCTTCCTGATGTCTGCAAGCAGGTGGTCGATTATGCAGCCGTCGTCCTGCGGCACATAGCCTTTCTTGACTGGTGAGAAACCGCGATTTAAAAAAAAAAAAAAAAGTCGGGTCAATACTTTTAAAATCATACCAGGGATTTGTTGAGTCGTGCAGTCACAACTCACTTATTTTTCCATTCTCTCCCTTCTGTCTCTTGGACTCTTCCTCTGCCAGCTGCTTCTTTCTCTTCTCAGCTTTGGCTGCCTGCTCTTTCCTGGTCTTATTGTCCTGCATTTGTGAAGAAGAAAAAAAAAAAAAAGCTATCACTCACACCGAGTACACGTCGTACACAGTAGCAATTTCGACTGAGTCAGCAACACATCAAAACGTTTCTTTTCACACTCTAAAAACGACACCAGTATTATCCTCGACCTTCAGCGCCTTGATGAAAAGTTCCCGGAAAGTCTTGATTGTTCCGAAAAGCTCTTCTAGCGACAGTTTATTGGCATCTTCACAAAAGTAGACGGCGAGGTCACTCCTCTTCTTGTCAATGTCCGCAAATCTTTCAGTCAAAGCTCGACATGCCTCCAGATTTTCCTGCGGCATAGAAATGAGGCCTTTTGTCAGAATGAGACACGCGCTCACAAAACGTAGCGTCAAAATTGATGCAGTAGTCTATTTTTCTTTTTTTTTTGGACATTTTTAGCAGCTCAGTAGCTCATTGAATTGAAAATTATTCTTTTAGGGCCAAACACTTGTCGGTACTGGAGTTTTCCTACAAAGATATAGATGATGTCCTCCAAGCACTTCGACATGCCGTCTGAAGGCTCTTTATCTTTTATTGGAGAGACGCACACCCCTGGCTGCTATACATTTTTTTAATACACTTCTTTGATATGCAGCTAAAGTGTAATTCGAGGTTGCGTACCGTTACTAAAACAGAGTGAGCAAGGATCTTACCTCAAGAAGCTTTGCATATTGCTCCTTCACATCTTCAACAGAGTTGGAGACTTTCTTTGACGCCTCATTCAGTCTTTTGAGTAAGTTGTTGGCTTCGGATTGGACAGAAACCACATTCATTCTGTGGCATGAAGAACATTTTTTTTTCATGAAAGAATATTTCACAGATTTGTGTGTGTGTGTGTGCACGCAGGAATGTGGAGGAGAAGCTGTACCCTGCAGCCTTTTGGCAGATTTCAATGTCCTCTGGCAATGCCAACAGTTCCGGGTGGTTTTCTTCTGCTTCCTACCAAAAAAGGTATGTGGAGTTATTAACAGATTTACGCTTTACGGCAAAAGGTTGTGTACCTCCAAGATGTGATGGAGCAGCGTGATGCGGCTCTTGTTGGCTTTCGTCTCCGTGAGTTTGAGAAGAGAGCTGATTTTGAATCCCTCGGCATTTCCTGTATGGCTTCCCTAGGAGGAAAAGCATTTTAAGTGATTCTCTAAATGTCACACCGGGGATGAAACGGATATTTGAGGCTCTTACATAATTGAGAAAATTCCCCACGTCAAGGATGAGCTTGCAGAAAGAAGGAATGAGCGTGCTTGTCCTGAGAGCTGGGAACACAGGTTGTGAATTGGTTTTGGGTAAGCTGGAGGAACATGGCAAATAAGGTTATTTCCGCATAAAACACTCAAAAGTCGAGTGTTCTTACAGTCACAGGCCTCCTCCAGCAGCTTGACTTTCGGCTGGAGCATGTCCAACACTGATGTCGTCTCCTCGCACAATAACATGCACTCAATCCTCAGCTGATAACTGGAAACAGGCAAGGAATTTAAAAAATAGTGATGGCGGACAAATCGGAAAAGATGGAAGGTCACATTTGAATGCAGGCAGATTAAAAATCCATCGCAAAATTTCACGAGTTCTTCTCTGGCCCATTTCACTCCGTAAAGCAGGCAGCTCACATGTTCTAACAGTTGGCGAAGGAAGTTACCATTCGACAGTGAGGAGCAATGTGAAGAAACGGTCAACATTTGCCAGCTTTTCCTTTTCTCCTTGGAAGGACTTCAAGTTTTCAATCTAGACGACAAAGGCAACATCGCGGCTCAGGCGCTGCGTCTCATCGCGCGATGAGGCCCTTGAATGACAGTTTTAAAACACTGCGTAGGTGTTGACAAACCTCATGCTTCTCTGGCAGAAGCTTCAGGAGCTGTTTTAGCACCTCCACATCAAACCTGGTTCTGTCACCTTTCTGAATCATCATCACAAAGTCCTCGTTTGAGCTGGACAGAGAATATTTGGAACGTTAAGATGGACACTCACTGGCCATAAAATTAGGCACACATGAACAATCTACTGAGATCTATCACAAGAGGTGTATGAATTTTGATGTTTTTCTAAACTTGGCTTTCTGCCCATTAGTGCATCAGGACCATGAAAACACACACACACACACAATGCATTCAGAGTACATAAGTGGAGCAAAATAAGTAAACTGTCGATTCAACAATGAAGTTTGAATTTCAAACTCAAGCATTTTAAATTGACTGCAGAAATTGCAAACACAAATGAAGATTCAGTTACTGGCTTTGTCATTGTTTTCCAAAGTAATCGCAGCTGTTTGGAAAATATTTGGATTCAACACAAAAGGTAACGGATTTCAAGAAAGGCAACAGAAATCCGAGATTTCCTGTTAATAGGCTGAAATTTGGATTTGACACAAAACGATTAAGCATCAATATATTATCAATTGATGTGATAATATAAACTACAGTAAATATAAATTCTTTTTGAGTAAGAGTTTCTTTTTCTTTAAAACGGAATTTTTGATGCATTTTATTGGATCTTCATCTGCACCTAAAGAAGTGTCCAGTGAGTGCAATTGACAGACATAAAATTGAACACCACAATGATTCGTGTCTCACCATTTGAACTGCTTCAGGAATATGTTAATATTCAGGTTTTTCTTGGGATCAATGAAAGAAATCTAGAAGCAAATAGAAATAGGTCATTTTGCTTCAGGAAACCGGGTGCTTGTTTTTAAATTCTTCATCTCCGAACGACGACCGCGCACACCTCTTTCGGCTCCTTCTTGACAGGAGCAGCTGCCCCCTTGTCTTTGTGCTCGGTCACCGGGAGACAGAACAGCTGCTCAATACTGCTATAGTCCGGCTCATGAGGAGAAGTCTCTTTCTGAACTGAAGCCCACATGGAGGGACCATCTGTATGTGTAAGAAGAGAGAGTTACCCCATCATGTCATTTTAAACTGTTTGCTCCTCTCCGAACTTGAGTCCTGATGTCACGGAGGAAAACATTTCTAATCAAGTCTTGAAAGAAAGCCCACACCTATCGACCTAACTCACCAGTAACAGACCTCAGTTTCTGCCAGTTGAGCTTTTTCATCCTCAGAGTAGGACATCGGTTCACCTTTGCGGGTGTGGCGCACCCCAGGGCATAACTGCTCTGAGCCACGATCATGCCCGGTGGGGGAGGTGGAGGTGGCACGCCAGGTAAGGCGGGTGGCGGCGGCGGTCCACTGTTCATACCTGGCAGAGGGGGTGGAGGCGGTGGGGGGGCCATGCCAGGACCAGAAGGTAGTGGCGGTGGTGGTGGTGGAAGTCTCATTCCAGGTAAAGGAGGCGGTGGTGGAGGTCCACCAAATCCACCAGGGAGTGGAGGTGGGGGAGGTGGAGGAGGTGGGCACTGAACAGGACCTTGGGGCCCTGTCATATTGGGAGGAAGTGGTGGTGGTGGTGGTGGAGGGGGAGAGGCAAAGAGTGGCTTCTGAGGTGATGCTGAGCATTTCTCCAGCTGGTTTTGCTCTTTCTGACTAGTCTGCGAAGCCTTGTCCACTCTGGCAGGCTGGCCATCCAATTCTTGATCGCCCTCAGACGACTTGGTCTTGAAAAACACCAGACGTTCCATGATCTTCTCAAATGACCCTATCTGAGCTAAAGTCCAAACAGGAAAAAAAAATGTTAGACAAGTGTATACAGAGGCCTTTACCTCATTGCTATGTTCCCAACTCCATCAAACATTAATAAGAGGCAGCCATTAGCGAGACATTTAGCTGCACAGGAAGTTGGAGTGAATGCATCGCAATGATGCTGACTCACAGTCCTGGGCCAACAGTATGGCTCGGTTAGTGATGGCCTCGAGAGCCAGCCAGATATCCGAACGGCTTGGCCCCAGCAGGAGCAGCGTCTGCAGGATGGACAGCAGCTGCAGTGAAGCGGGGGAGCTGCTCACCTGGCACACATTAAAAATAATATCACTTAGGGCTGGGCAATTATGGTTGAAAAGTGTATCAAAATATACATATTTCATGTCAGTCCATCAATATAGATTGCATATTAATTTCATTCTTTTTTTTAAGGAAAATGAACTGAATTTAGGTAATTTTATTTTCAAGTTTAATATTTAAGCTTAAATAAGAAGTTAAAACAACTATGAGAAAATAAAACTGGTCAATTTAAAGATTAAACAAACATTTGCTGAGTGGAGCCGGAGGAATCACAATGTATGTGTTTTGACTTTTTTTTTTTTTTTTTTAAACCAATCAAATTGAAGAAAGTTGAAGATGAACAACAAATTACATTGATTAAAAATGAAAATCAAGCCACTATCAAGAGGATAAATAGCATTCAAAATATCTGGTAGTTATGCTCCAAATTTCCTTTTAGGCGCTTGGTATTGGGGCACAAATCTAATGTCATACAGCAATTTTTTTAATCAATATATATGATATTGAGTGCATTTGTATTGATATTGATGACCTATCATATTTTATATTTACTGCCTTTGATGGCTCTAGTTGTCAAATATTAAGGCCAGTGGTGAATTAATATGCATCACTAAAACAAGATGATAGATGGAATTACATCAATGAATTCTCAAGTCCATTCCACACAACTCTCACCTTGTTGAAGAGAGTTGTGAATACCTCCAGGTGATTACTCATATCAATCCCGCCGTACAGTCGCAAGAGCTCCTCCTCATCTTCAGCCATTGCCTCTTCAAAAGCTTCACATTGAATAATCAAGTCTTCATCCTCCTGTTCTCTGCAGGCCACGTGCAAAGACAGATCAGTCATTGGTGCGGCACGCTTCACATTGAAATGCCATTTTACTTGAAAAAAATAAATACATAAAGAGGCTGACTGATGAAAAGTTAAAAAAAGGCCCACATGCTCACCTTAATTTTGGTAGAATATCAAGAACCTGAAGCCCTGCAGAACAAAAAAATACATCATGAGTGTCACAACATTCACCTTGGTTTTTTTTTTTTGTTTTTGTTGTTTTTTTTCCAAACCACGTATAATCTTTAAAAGTGGAACAATGGAATAGGATAATGGAGGAGGTATGGCAGGAAGGCACAGGTGAGCAATTATAAAAGAGGTGTGGCCAATCAAATTGTTGATTGGTCCACAGAGGTGGGTGTTCACACTGGAATTAGGTGAGTTCATAAAGACTCGGTTATTTATTTATTTTTTTTGTGTTTATAGTTTGTCTTGGGACTCCAAACTCTAAACATCAGTCTGCTATGGGAATGATCAACACGGATTTGCTGTGACTTTCATTTTGTCCAACTAAATTAGGTTAGTATGATTCGGAATCATGTTTTGAACTTAAGACGTAGCAGCGTATGATATAAGTTACAAGCATATGTCAAGCTTTTAATGCATTGTCAGACAGAATGACAACCTATTCTCAGGCACATTTGCAGTAGAGCGCCAATGTCCTGTTTTGTGCTTTGTATTCACTTTTAGCACAGACGTAAATGCTGTGACAGTTCACAGAAAAGTGACCTCACTCATTGTGATTAATTGTTCAGTGGCAGGCTGAACCTACCGATAAACTCCTTTCTCATCTTATCTCTCTGCCTCAGGTCGTCGGAGCCGAAAATGAGGGCGTTGATGACACTGAGGAGCGTGACCATGTAAGGAACGTTGTCGGTGGCCTGAAGCTCGTTCATGATCACGCTGAAGCGATAATGATGCGTCTTCACACCCTGCCAAACAAATCAAAGAGGAATTGGTCCACTTATTCATTGTGGTGTAATGCCCGTGAATACAACTCGCCACAAGGGGGCGGTATTTTTTTTTTTTTTTTTAAGGGGTGGGGGGGGGGGGGCATATAATTTTTCTTGCCTTGTAGTGGTCCAGAGCATCCAGAGCAAGGTGATGACCATCTGTTGAGAACATGCTGAGGGCTGCAAGTAGCTCAAACACCTGCTTCTTCACCATCGTGTTGGAGGTGTCCAAGGCTGTGGAGCGTCATGAGTGAACAGCACACGCAAAACATCTACTTTCACGACCGTGCCTTTTTTTTTTGTGTCTCGACCAGAACATGCTTCACATATTTTCAGGCATCGCAATGTGAACTTTGTTATTTGAGGACGTGGCAGCAGATAAACATGTTTGTAATCTGAAAATTCCAATACGCATGGGTTTCGTAACTCGCTACACACCAAAAATGAGGGATAATTGGTTTTTTGGTGACATTTCAGGCTGAAACTAAAATGTACTTTAACCTTTAGATGTGAACTTAATTTGACCTTGTGTAAACTTTCAAAAGCACGTGTCCAAACTTTTGATGTTTCGGTACTTTTTGCACAACTTCCTGTTATTTAACGAGGAACGGAACAGCAAAATTCACAATGGGTGTAATATACTTTCATTCATAAAGACCTTTATGTGACTCTTCAGGCCTCTCTGCATATTTCAAGGTATCTCATGAAAATCTGTCATCCTTGGCTCAGTAGCCACGTCGATTTCAGAACAACCTGTTTGAAGCCTTGCAATGATTAGGGACTGTTGCTCAATTGTTAGGTGTCATCTTAGATTCCTGATGTAAAAATTAACATCATGATGAAAGGCGTGTTTGAATATTGATTCTAAGTCCATCCATCCATTTTCTAATCCGCTTATCCTCACATGGGTCGCGGGCATACTGGAGCCTATCCCAGCTGTCTTCGGGCAGTAGACGGGGTAAACCCTGAACTGGTTGCCAGACAATCGCATGGCACACACAGACAAATAAACATTCACGATCACAATTACACCTAATGAGAATTTGGCGTGCCCAAGCAACCTGCCATGCATGTTTTTGGAATGTGGGAGGAAACCGGAGTACCCAGAGAAAACGCACGCAGGCACGGGGTAAACATGCAAATTCCATACAGGAAGGCAATTCTCAGTGAATTAAGCAATTGAGTCGTCCATTGACAGATCAAAAACCTGTTGTCAAATTTGCTGTTCAGCTCCTTGTTCGAGAATAGGAAGTGGTCCAAAAAGTTTTGACCAAAATCTCTCAATTTTTCTGAGTTGTGCATATAATGTATACAAGGACTATGAAATAAAATGTGTGTTAAGATGTTTGGCGATATAGAAGTGGAATGTTTGTGGGAACCTTGGGAGAGCTTCCGGATGTATCCCTCATTCTCAATGATGAAGTGGATCCCGGCTGAAGAGTTCATGACAGCACGGACGCAGTTGACGCAGGTGAGCTGAAGGAGGGCATCTGATATACGGGAGCAACCTCGGCCCGAAAGGCGGTCCAGGGCCTCCAAAAGGAGATCCAGCCCACTCAGCTCCAGGAATTGGACCATCCATGTCCGGTCGCTTCCGTCCAGGCGCCGCTTCAGGCCAGAATAGTTGACCACAGTGGGAACCTGGAGTAGTCTGATACAGAGCTCGGGATCAGCATTTTCCAAGTTGGCTTCCTGTTGGGTGTCTGAGTCCTGCGATGAGCCCAGGCGCCCCCTAACTGCTGCCCACTTCTTCTTTACCTCCGACATCCCTGACATCATTTTAAAAGCACCTGTGTAGAAAGGAAAGGGCATTATATCGTTCGTTCATTCAAATATGCATTGTTTAAATTTTAGCAGTTAGTCTTCCTCAGAGCCAAGACGGTCTGTCAGCTGGTCAGAACAGAGTAGAATGCTCAATGAGGGGAAGAAAAATCAGCTTAAGACTTAGAGACCTTATAGGCACATGGTTATGTCTGTTGACAAGTAAAGTAATACATTAAATAAGAGTGTACGTTGGTAAATTAGTGCCACATCAAACAAACAGGAAAAATGTAATACATTTCATGTTTTAACATGATAAATTTCACATTCACTTTTTTTGTTTTTCAACAATTTTAGCCGTTGCATTGCTAGTGACGTTAATTTATAAGACACAAACGAGACTCAGTCAGTGGCCTGAACCCGAAGTATTTGAATGCGGAAGCCAAACAAATCACATTTTAAGATGATGAATTTCATGTTTTAACTTTTTTTTTTTTTTTGTGGTGTAGCACCAATTCACTTCTGTGAGAGTTAAAACAAAACAAAACAAAACAAATAACAGCCAAACAAAAAATATTGCTTCAGACATGAAGTTTGCAAAGAAGCACCTGAATGTTCCACTGCGCTACTGGCACTGCTTTGCTCTATCATGACCTGGATGCTTGCTATCACCGATGGAAAAATGATTTCTGAAGTTTATCAGCACATTTTTCAGAAAACCTTATGACCATCAGTCTGCCAATTGAAGCTTAATAGGTCGGCGATTGCTCTTAAGACTGCAAGAGAAGCTTTGTTAAAAAGGTCTAGCATTCTGTTTGTTTGTCGACTCTCTTCCGTCACTCGACGGTTTCTTTCTCCAACGAGTTGCGACGGCTGCAGAGCCTCTCTCCCATCACAATCACCCTCTCGCAGCCAGGCACACAGTAGCATAGTGCAGCAGCTCCACCCCGCTAGCAAGCTGCTCATTATCAAAATGAACTCCCCCTTCTTAAATCAGCAGCATTCGCCACTGCAACACAATCACATACAGAATGGCTTCAACTGATCTGCAACTGATTCGGTCTGATCTGTGACTACAGGAAAGGGTTGAGTTGAGGTGACTGCTACCAAAGGAGGCTCCACCAGTTACACAAGTCATTAAACTATAATTATTCAAGTTATTATCCAACTGTTGATACTTTTACCACATTGCAGTGACACTTACATGTGATCAGTAAAAACATAAACACATGATTGTGTGTTATTAGCTTAAGGGAACTGTGTTTGTCTTCTGGTGTGACTGAGATAAAGATCAGATCATATTTTTTGAGCAATTATGGAATGACATGCTTGTTCTTGCAATGAATAAATATATTCCAAAAACATGCACGGGAGAGTAATTAATCACTCTAAATTGTGCGTAGGTGTGATTGTGAGTATGAATGTTTGATCGTCTACTTTGTACCCTGCGATTGGCAGACAACCAGTTCAGGGTGTGTACCGTGCCTACTGCCCGAAGACAAGTAGGATATGCTGCAGCATGGCGGCTGTGACCCGAGTGAGGATAAAGCGGTTGAGATATGGATGGATGTACTTTTTGTTTCCATAATCTTGTTTCATTATTACCTTTTATGTTACATGATCATATTGGAATTGCTGCGAGGTGTGAAAAACTAGGGTCAATGAAAGACTTTTTTTGTAAGTCCACACAATTGTATTTCCGCTAGATAATTCAACAAAAAATATTAAAAATTGCTATTACTAAGATATTGACTATTCGTTGACTTGGAAAATGAATTAAGTGCACTTTTAATTTTTTGAGTGGAGTAAGAAGGAATTTCGAATGATAAGACTTGAGGTGTTATATTGGCAAAGCTTCAAAACAACAGCTTTTTTCATATTTATCATTCTGCGGGTTGTCGTCAGAACTGAATGGGAACACGCTTGGAACAATAGATACAAGTCCAAAAATAACCACGTTAAAACTATGCAGGAAGTTGCACAAAAACGAACATGAATAAACTGAGAAACCCACACCAATGAATGTCGACTGTAACTTCCTTAAAAATCACTTTATTTTGGGAAGGAAATTTCATGAATTTGTCCACATAATGTCATCCAGTCTCACCATTGGTAAGCAGAACAAAGACAGCAGGCCGGATCACAAAGGAAATGAAAATGGGATATGACAGCGCTGCACTCTGTGGGTGTGTAAACACCAATGTCAGCAGTCCAGTCATTTCCAGCAGCTATGCAAAACATTCCAACTAAATCCTGCGTAAAAAATCTGTTAGCCAATCCAAACTCCCTATGAGGTCTTACTGGACACTCCGTTTACAATGCAAAGGGGCGCGTTTCATTAGAGACATTGAAACTGATTACACAAGGCACAACTATGTAGAGCGAGCATATATTATGAATGCACACATGCTGCTTTTTGTGGCACAACCAAACACAGCACTGCCCCCCTCCTTTCACCAACCTGACTCTCTGGGGAGCTTCTAAAACATTCCCGTATGAGCAGGATACACACACTAAGTCCAAAAAAGGGGATAGCACTCTGCAAAAAGTCTAAAAATACTTCCTCTGAATTAAGGGTTGCGATATTTGTTGGTTTGGTATTTAAAAAAAAAACGCTTTCGGCTCTGCTGTCTGCTGTGAATTTCAGAATTGGCAAACCCAAATGATGAGCATGTACAGACACAATGACTTGCTCTGACTCACAGTTGGCTTCTTGGAAGGAATGATAGCTTTTGCAAAGGCCCATTGTACTTGCTTTTCACTGTCACTTTGCTCGACACTCACATATTCAACTTCTACACTGTTGGCCTTCTGTTTTTAAAAGATGCAGTGCAGAATAATTCCATTCATTCCGCCGAGTCAAGGTAAAGCGACTCTTGGCATTTGTCACATCCACTGGCAAAGGAATTTTGTCAGCTCAGGCTGCACAATCCTGCCTCGTTACCGTGGCAGCCAGCAGACATACACAGAATGGTGATTCGCAGCAGACCTTTTCAGTGCCGTATTCAACTGGCATTGAGCCCCCCC